GCTGAGAGAGAAGAAGGGTTCTAGCAGCGAAGGGGAGAGACAGGATAAAGGGGGTGTTAAACAGCTTAAAATTCATTATGTGCATAAGAAACTGGCGGCAGAACAGCTCAACAAATGCGTTTATAGTTTGTAAGTAGAGATGGAGAATGAGGACAAGACTGGACCAACTGGGCTTGGGGCACGAATGGTGTCATCTGCTTCCGCTACTGGGTGACCGAATGGGAAGTAATTTAATCCGTTGTTTGGTTTCTGCAGAAGTGGGGATTGAACCTACAGTTTTGTGCAAGATAAAGAAGCGTTTTATCACTAAGCTACCCAGCCTGCTTCTAGAGCCTCCTCTGTGCTCTATCCTCAGTTAAATGCTCTTATCACAATTAAGTGCTGTATGAACAAGGGATTCCAACTTCATGTGAGGAAATTAAAATGTCAGACTGTAACTTCATTCCATAAATTTAGCATTGTGAGTGTCTTTTGTGTATTGTGATTCTATCTTCAATTTTGGAAAACTCAACGTTAGAAAGTCACAGTATCTTAAATATTTATTGACCTATCATCATTTTTAAAATCACCTTAAAATAGTTTTTAAACCCATGATTGCTCATTTCATAAAGCATAGTCCTATGTTCACACTTAGGGTAATATTGATTAGCTCCCGACGAAGCTCCCTGACATAAATTCGTGCCCTGTGGTTTAACTCAACATCACCTCCCGTAGCCCTGCTTTCATTTCTCTCTCATTGCTGGTTTCTCCAGCTACTAAATAAAGAGCCCTTGAGCCTGCTAACGATGGTAAATATTTAATTGTGTTCTTATCTGGAGTATTTTATGTCTGAATTGTATTGTTTGCCTAATTGAGATGGTGATCTATGGAAATTGGGACCTTGTGTCCCCTGCATGTTAAACTAAACATTTCTGAACTTCCATTTCTATGTAGTCAAAAATGGAAAATGAGAATATACCACAGTCTAAGTCTTTAAAGTTTTCTTGTGACTTCTAATTATTAAGCCCTTGGACTAACAGAGTGTTTTCACAAGGTCCTGATGCCATTGTCTTTTTCCTACTCCATTCTTTCCCAACACGTACAAGGATATTAAAAATTAATAAAGTTAGAGATACAATTTGCTAATACCACATCCCCCCAAATTAAATTAAGAATAAAAATAATTGTTGTTATATTGTATGTGGGTATGAAAGATCAAGCAAGGTCATCACACACATATTCTCTCTCTCTCTCTCACACACACACACATTAAGCTAACAGATGGAACTTAATTAGTTCAGGAAGCTGACATATGGAATGTCTACTAAGAGGAATTTTTTACAATATACTTTTATGGAGAATTTTTTTTTCTTTCTTTTGTTTTCTGTGAGTCAAGTTTGTGAAAGGAGAGAAGTTTAGAGAAGGGACAGCCAGTCATGTCATCATGTCTCTAGGAGACTGTCATTTGGGGACATTTATGCATATGCATATACATACACAAACATATACATACATGTATACGCATGGAATATTGATTGAGTGAAGATAGGAAAAAGGACTTCTGACTCAGGTAGGTGTATCTGGAATGCTATTTTAAAAGAGAGCTATTGTTGTACTGTAAAGGTTGTATTGTACCTGAACAAATGCATCCTGTAGAAGCATCAAGAGAACTGCCTAAGTCCACAGAGTGACTCAGTCTATTGAAAAGTTTTGCATCAGGTATTTCACACGAATCAATTCACTATACTCCTAACAGTCCTGTGCAGTGAATGTACAGAACAGGAAGGTGAAGCTTGCAGAGACTGACGTGCTGGGGGTACAGATGTGGCTCTGTGGAGAGATTCAGAGACAGTCAGGTTCAAATTCAGCAAGTGGGAGTGGTGGCAGAGTGTTGGAAAGTACCAGCCATCCTGTCCCACACAAGACTGGGGCAAAGCTTAGGGCATCATTTCCCAAGATTTCCAAACCATTCAGGGCCCTCACTTAAAACAGAGATTTGGGAGCTGGAGAGATGGCTCATGGTTTAGAATAATTGTTTTTCTTGCAGAGGACTCAGTGTGATTCCTGGCACCCACATAGTGGCTTACAACCAGCAGTAACTTCAGTTATAGGGGATCCAACACCCTCTCTTGACCTCCTCAGGTACCAGGCATACACGTGGTGCACATACGTACATGCGAGCCACACATCCATATACATAAGGAAAAAATAAATCCTTTAAAAAACAACAACAGAGATTTATAGGCATCTCCTCTGCAGATTCTGATCTCAATGATGTGGGGCAAGGTATCAAAAACTGTACCGTCAGTAAGTTGTGAGTGATTCCTTTTGATCAGACATGTTGGCCACACTGCCTTAATGAGGTTAATAGATAATAGGAATGAAGGATCTAACTCCCAGGTGATACTCAGTTATTTGATATAGAGAAAAATGTTTCCGAGACAAGGTTTCATGAATCCCAGACAAGCCTCAACTTCTCTACAAAAGCAAGGATGACCTTGAACTTCTGCTCCTCCTGCCTCTGTCTCCCTAGTGATGAGACTACAGATGTGCACCACAACAGCTGGTTTATATAATGCTGGGGATTGAACTCATGGCTTCCTGCATGCTACATAAGCACTCTGCCAACTGAGCTGCATCCCCAGCCTGAACTGGGAAAAGCATTTTAAAGACTATACAGAATTTGGACTCTATTCTCTAGTGAAGTAAAACATTATGAGGTTTATGAGCACAATGTAAAATTAATAGATGCTCATAGAAATTATAGACTATTGCTTGGGGGAAGAAAATTGGATATTTTGTTAATGAAAATGTCTTTTATAGGACTGGGGAGATGGTGGTTGGAAGCACTTGCTTCTCTTCTTAGAGAATCTAGGTTAGAGTCTCAGCAGCTACATGGCAGCTCACAACTGTCTGGAACTCAAATTCCAGAGGGGTCTGTGACCCTTTTCTAGCCTCTGAGGGCACTAGACACGCACTTAGTACACAGAAATACATGCAGGCAAAACACCCACATACATAACATAAAATATTTTTAAATGTCTTTTACTTTTTAAAAAAAAAATCTTCTACTAGGTTGCTTTAAAAATGAAGAAATGCAGCCAGGCATAGCTGTGTACATCTCTCCTCCAAGAACTTGGGAGGCAGAGGCAGGCCAATCTCTGTGAATGTAAGGTCAGCCTGGCCTACATAGTGTGTTCCAGTCCAGCCAAAGCTGCACAGTGAGACCCTGTATCAAACAAACAAACAAATAACAAACAAATGACTAACTTATCAATCAGATACCTAAAGCACTATTTTATTTTGGAGGGAAATCTTAGGCAAATCTGATTGTTTGAAATTGTAGTGGTGGGAAAGTATACATGTTTTATCATAAATATAACGATTATAGCAAGCCTCTTTAATACAGTGACCTGTCCCTATCTGACAGTAGGTCATAAGACACTTGACATTCCAGAGGGATCCTGCCCCTTCCTAGAAGAAAGAAATACAGAAGAATAGATAAACCCAGGCACTGCTGAGTCTTTCTGTGCAGCCTGTTAGCAATCTGGCCGATGTGATTACATTTCCATAAGAACCAGAAAGACAAGGTCCAGAGACCCTCCGGATTGATGAGCTTATGGAGGCTCTCAGAGAGTGGACAGTGAAGGGTGTCGCTGAATTTCTGCACTCCTTCTCCCTTACCTCACCCTGTGTATCTTTTCATCTAGAGTCTTTGTAATGATGCACAATAAAATGGTAACGATAAGGATTTCCCTGGCTCTGTGAGCCACTCAAGTAGACTATTCAAATTTAAGGAGAGGGTTATGAGAACCTTATGTTGTAGGCAGTAGACAAGCTGGGGCCTGTGACTGCCATCTTTAAGGGAAAGGATGGGGCGGCAGTCTTGGGAATGATCCCTCGACATGTGTTATCTGAGCATCTCCAGCCATGTCGAAGTTACTGGATTAGCTGGACACTGCTGGGGTCCACTGCCTGCTTGTGGGGAGACATCTCCATACCGTTTGAGGTCACAGGTGTCTTCTTTGTTGATTGTGGTATATTAGGAGTGGAAAACCAGTATTTTTTTCTAGATGCAGAGTGACATTAGGTGAATGATCTAGTCATCATACTTGAGCACAGTCACTGTGGTCCCGACACCCTGACGACTTGTCTTCTAACCAGTCAGAAGGGACCAGCAGGTGAGTTGCGTATGCTAGTGTACATACACTGAACCAAGAGAAGGGAGCAGGGCTGTGTGAGATTTCACCATGACCCAGAGTGATGTGCAATCTAGAACACATCGCTCACTTTGAGAACTTATCATGTAATACTTTCTCACTTGGCTGATCTTGGAAAATGAAACCTGGAGCAGTGGCTCCCGAGGAGAAAATGCAGTGTGCTGCAATAGTTAAAGCTCATTTCTTGGTTGACTTTGTTGTTGCCTGCTAGCTGCATAACCATTCCTACCTCACTAAGTTTCAGTTTCTTATTTAATTATAGAGAACTGTTTCCTTCAATGTATGCAAATACTTAGCATAGTATATGAATTGAGACTGAACGTAATTGAGTTGGCAATGAATGACTCAGTGATAGCTATTATGTACCTTAAAAATACTTGATGTTAAGTATTAACAAATCACAGATAAAAATTGTTTTTTAAAAAGAAAGAACTGAAATATTTGCATTAGCACCTACGAGTGCAAAGGCTCTTTACCTCTAGGGCTCTGTCAAAACAACAACAACAACAAACCTGGCCAAATGGAACCCAACCTTCTGGATCACAATTTTAAAAAATTAGAAAAATAAAATAAAACAGGACAAGCCTGGAAAGGAAAAAAAAAAAAGAAAAGGGGCGAAAGAAGCAGACGCCTCACACTCTGCTTGAGGAAACGCTGAGCAGAGAGTGCACAGCCTGTGGAAAGTACACATTGGCTCTCTTCAAAGCTCCGCGTCTTCACCGGGAAGCTTCTCTGTCTCCCGGGCAACCGGAGCTTCAGCCAATCGCAGCCGAACATCGGGGTCACGTGGCCCGGCCTGGCAACATGGCGGCGCGGCTGGAGGTGCGGCTGGCTGGCGCTGGGGTCTGAGTTCTTCCACCAGGAGCTCTTGCGATCCTGACGATGTCTGACCCCGCGTGGCGAGACTCGCGTGGGCGCCCGGCCGAGCTCCCCGGAGACCTGTCCTCACAGGAGGAGGAAGAGGAGGAGGGCGATTCCGACGCCGGGGCCAGCGACTTGGACTCCTGCTCCTCAGCCAGCAGCGACACGTAAGGCTCCCGGGGATGGCGGGACCTCGGGATTGCGGGGCCCGGGCCCGGAGCTCGTGCAGGGGGCGCGGCGCTGGTCTGCTTGCTGCGGTGCCCGCCTCCCGGTGGGCTCTGTGCTCTGTGAAAGGATGTCTGTGCTGCTCCTGAACCCTGTCCTGCAGTACTGCCTTCTTCCTTGTGACGTGGACTCCGGCGCATTTTTAAAAAATAATTGCTTTTTATTATTTTTGATTGTGTGCACCTATGTGTCTTTGTGTGTTTGTGCACGTGAGTGCAGTGTCCATAGAAGCCGGAAGAAGGCGCTGGATCCCTGGAACTAGAGTTTCCAGTGGTTGTGAACCACTGTGTGGGTGCTTGGAACTGAACCCCTGTCCTCTCCAAGAGCAGCAAATGCAGCCAACCTCTGAAGTCCCTCTCCACCTGCAGACTTCTGCGTATTTACAAGGGAAGAGACACTACACATGTTGTAAAGCAACTATTTTATACTATGGAGATGTTTTCCTCTTAGGGAAAGAAATAGATTGCAGAGAGGAAGTCTCCTCAGCGCCTCACTATCAAGACAGCCTCTCTGGCTTCAGGGTAGATATTCATGCTATATTTTTTTCTATTCAACCCCAGAGCTTTCTATTTCAAGTCAAAATTATTGGTAATACCATGAATGAGTTATTTTGATTCACAGTATTTTATTTTTTTTTTAAGTAATCCCTACCTGTTGCTGTGTATTAAGGACTTCTTAGAAAAGCCGGTGGTGACTTATAGTGAAAGCCTGGCAGTGGAAGGGTTCAGGCCACTGGTTATCTATAGTTTTAGGATAACATTTTATGTGTGGTTAGAACTAGCAGTTACAGCATCTTCAACGAACAGTATATAACACCTTTTTTTTTTTGTCATTAAAAGTGAAGGAAAACCCTGCTTAAATCCATTGTGGAAGCTTAATAGGGATAGATTGTATTCTTAAAATTTTGAACAAATGTGAAAATATTAACTTTTTGTAAGTTATCATTGTCATCTTAAAAGTGCTTTAGAAATCTGTGGTTTGTTCTAGTTTCATGGCTGTTGTTGTAATAGGAAATTATGACCAAGTTAGAGGAGAAAGGGTTTACTTGGCTTACCATTCCAGGTTACCATTCATTACTAAGAGAAGTCAAGGCAGGGCCTTGAAGACAGGTCTGCTTGCTCTTTATTCTATAACAATCCCTCCAAACCAAAGCTTCAAGGCAGAAAGCATGGAAGGTGGTGCTGGTAGGCATAGGCAGGCAGGTTTATGCTCAGCTGGCTTTCTTGTATAGTTTCAGAGCCACAGTGGGGATGCTGATAATCTTATCGGGACCCAAAGAAAATTTAGGATTATGGTCAAGTCCTTACTGGATTATTCTGTGAGACTGGATCATCTCAGCCAGTAGTCTTGAGGTTGTTCTGGATGTAGAACTCAGAGGAAACTGCAACAAACGTACTCTGAAACATTGGGTCATCTGGGTCATCTGTTCCCATTGGAGATTTTTCAGGGGGTCTTCCTTGATCAAACCTTATTTTTCTTAACCAAGAATGAAGCCACAGCCTCTCACTTCTTATGGAAAGAAAAGTGAAACCTCTTCTCCAAAGCAACATATATTTGACTTAAATTTTGTAGTCAAGACATTTTGATCAAATCTTATTTTTCTTAACCCAGAATGAATCTACAGCCTCTCACTTCCTTTAGAAACAAAAGCAAAATCTCTTCTCCAAGTAACATATCTTTTGACTTTAATTTTGAAGTCAAGGCATTTTCAAAAGATATAGGTTGGATTAATCCAGCAGCATTAGTAATCCAATGTCTTTTAGCAGCTGTTGCTCCTTCTTCAGCAGTCAAACAATTCAAAGAGAACACAATAGATTACAGTGTCCAGATTCTCTGTGTACTTTCCATCCTTACATGGAAGTTACGCTGGGGCAGATGGGAGCTGGGAGTGCTACTTTTTCTCCTGAACGCAGGTGGCTAGGTTTGGGTCCAGATCCTAGACCTGGAATTTTAATCCCAACTCTGACCTGGGCTGGTGACTAAAAAGCCTCAGGCAGTCAGCATTTTTGTGAATTCATACCCTCAAAAGGTTAGGCGCCAAATGAAGCACAATTAATAAAAACTCAGGATCAGAAATTGGAGTTCAACCTAAAGATCCGAAAAGCAAAACAGTCAGCCACTGGCTCTTACCTTGACCTCAGTCTGAAATGGCAATTCTGCCGCCAGGAATCTCAGCATTAGACCGTGTGTCAAGAGCTGTCTCCTCCCGTTTTATATTCCTCTCTAGGGCTGGAATTAAAAATGTGCATCACTGGGATTAAAGGCATATGTTATCATAATCTGGTCTGTAAGGCTGACCAGTGGGACTGCTTTACTCTCAGATCTTTAGACAGTCTTTATTAAAATACAGTTGAAAGACCCCATAATGTTGACAGTGAGGTTAACCATCACCTCATCACCCATTGTTTAGTTCTCTGTTTCGTGTGTCTACACTTGTCCTGCTCTTATACCTGCTAGTGTCATTTAAGTTCACGGTGACCACTTTGGGAAAAGTGCACGGTTCTTTTCCCAAGAGGAGGAGGATGTAATTATTTGGGATAGTGCAAATATCCATTTTACTTAAATGAGGAAATGTGCAGGTCAGGATGCATACCGTGTGGATCTTCTCAAGATCCATGTGGGCAGAAAATGTAGCAAGCATGTTACATTTACACTGTGGTAAATGAAAACACTGCTGTGATATCTGTCTGGATGGCTCAGAAGATGAAACTGCTTGCTGCTAAGCCAGACAGCCTGAGTTCGATTCCTGGGACCCCCCATGGTGGAAGAACAGAATGGACTCCACAGAGTTCTCTGTTCTCACACATGCCACATGGCACATTTGTACTTGCACACACACACTTGCAAATATACACAATAATAATAATAAATAAAACTCAAAGTTAAAAAAAAACAGAAACCTTTGTTTTGTGGGGAAGAGAAGCTGAAAAAGAACCCATGATGGTGCATATGGAAGGCATAAAAGGGAAAAGGTGGGGGAGAGTTAGGGAGCTAAAGAAAAACAGGAGTTAACAACTGGCTGTAGAACAGGGCATTGGGCAGACATCGCCCTAACCAAGAGGTGGATGGGGGAGACCTCAGCAAGGGCTGAGAAAATCGCAAACCACAGAGACGAGGGAGACCTGATGGCGAGCAGCAACACGATCTGCTGGGTGGAATCCTGGAGCCCAAACAGAATGGTAATAGAAGAGCAGTAACAGAAATGGAGTCTGGAGTCAGCTCACAGGCCAGCGTTAGCGTCTTACTGGCAAGTGAGTAACAGCTGGGTAAGATGTTAACACAGGGGAACGGGGTTTTATGGGAACACAGGAGCACCTTTGCAACCTTCTTTAAGTCAAAAATGAACCCATATTTTAAAAAAATTCTTTTAGAGCAGGAATTAAATCTAGCTGTTTCAGTTCACATTTTTGTAGTGACTTCAAGAGTCAGCAGTAATGTACTTTTTATTTTATTGTTCTTTTTTGTTCTTTATAAATAATGCCAATCAAAATTTCCACTTCCTTCCCTTCTCCCACTTCCCTCTTGCTCCCCCACTCACCCTTCTTCCCTCCCCCTCCAGTCCTGAGAGAGGGCAGGGTACCCTGCCCTGCTGGAAGTCCAAGGCCCTCTCCCTTACATCCAGCACACAGCTGTCTGTGACTTCAGTTCCCGGGGACACGACACCCATGCACATAAAATAAAAATAAATTAATTTTAGGAAAGGTTATTGTTCACTTGTCACCTAAAGGCTTCCAGGGGTCTCACAGCTGTCTGGAATCCTCAGATCAGAACTGTAAGATGCTAAACACTAACTTCAAGGAGAGGTGAGGTTGAAGCGCCCGATATATGTGCCTGGTGATCTAAGTGGCACTGGGCATCTAAAGTGATGCCAAGTATTGGAACCATCTAGACCAGTGAAGTGTTAGTTTTGGTGTCTTTAGCCACCTATTGCTTTACTTTTTTATGATTAATGTACACTTGAAAAGTCTGTGTTACTAACCAGCTATACAGACCATGTGTACTAACCAGCTATGCAGACCATGTATACTAACCAACTATACAGACCGTGTATACTAACCAGCTATACAGACCATGTGTACTAACCAGCTATGCAGACCATGTATACTAACCAACTATACAGACCGTGTATACTAACCAGCTATACAGACCGTGTGTTACTAACCAGCTATACAGACCATGTATACTAACCAGCTATACAGACCGTGTGTTACTAACCAGCTATACAGACCGTGTGTTACTAACCAGCTATACAGACCGTGTGTTACTAACCAGCTATACTGACCATGTGTAACTAACCATCTGTACAGACTGTGTGTACTAACCAGCTATACAGATCATGTGTTACTAACCAGCCATACAGACCATGTGTACTAACCATCTGTACAGACTGTGTGGTGTACTAACCAACTATACAGACCATGTGTACTAACCATCAGTACAGACCATGTATACTAACCAGCTATACAGACTATGTGTACTAACCATCTGTATAGACTGTGTGTACTAACCAGCTATATAGACCCTGTGTACTAACGGCTATACAAACCATGTGTACTAACCAGCTATACAGACCATGTGTACTAACCAGCTATACTGACTGTGTGTTACTAACTATCTGTAAAGACCACGATAGTGATAGAATTTTGGGGACTAATTTATATGGTATTCAGAAAGCAGTACTTGACAAAAATTTAATACAAGAATCAGAGTTGCTACTAAACACTCAGGAAAGCAAAGGAGACTTCCGTTGGGTGAATGATTAGAACACAGACTAGACCCTCTCCTGCCTAGGTGCTCAGCTTAAGACTCTCCCCACATGGTGACAAACCAGTGTCACTTTAAAGAATGGCAGCGTGGAAGGCAGCCTGTGCCTCAGAACAGAACAGAGCCGTCGGTTTATTGCCACAGCATGGGTGTTGTTGCTGTTTAATGCTGTTTCCACTTTAATGGCAATAATTTGGCCACTTAACAACCGACTTCCCATCTATCCTCTTTTATGGCCACAGGATGAATTATGTAAAGTGTGGCTTTACTCTCCTTACTGTTGCTGCTAATGAGGCGTTGTGCAGAAATTAGAGGTTACAGCTAGGCTCATTGCGGACTGTGATTATAGCTGGCTGGTTTCGGCCATGGTTGCAGTCTGTGGAAAGATGATGCTGCTTTTTTGAAAATTGTTATCTAAACAAAGTACATGATGCATGACTTCATTCTAGCTGAAGCCATCCCAAGTGCTCCCCGTGCAGATAGGACACTTACCCGTGTTTTCCAGGCAGCTGGCTTCTGTGGGTTCTGTCAATACTTTCAATGATCAATGCGAATTTTGAGATGTCCAAAGTGAGCTATAACCACACGGTGGCTGGGTTAGTGGTGTGTGTGTGTGTGTGTGAGAGTGTGTGTCTGTGTATGAGCGCATGTGTCCACAAGCACATTTGGGTGTTATGGGCATGTTTGCCCAGGTGTAGTACACACGTGAAGGCCAGAGGTGATATTGCTGGGCCTTTATTGCACTCTACCCTACTTTTTGAGACAGAGTCTCTCACTGAACCTGAGCTCGCCTTTTGAGCTAGACATGTGCTACCATGTCATTGTGTGAGGGATTTTTCTCAGAAGACACAACACATATGTGTTTACTCACTGCAGAGTAGACAGCAGTGTCGGACTTGGTGAGTCAGTGAGGATCTGTGGGGGTCACTAACAGGAGTTATAAGGGGTTACTTTCAAGGGGCAAGGATACCTCAGAAGCATATGCGTCACCCAGAATGAATGGAGACTCAGAAGCTGCAGCCCTGGAGCCCTCTGCACAGCATGTAGACAGGCCCAAGCATCTCCCCTGGGCACAGCATGTGGGCAGCTCCACAGGCCCAAACATCTCCCCTGGGCAGCTGCTGTTTAGAGTCGCTTCCCCAGCAGTTCCTGCTCTTTCTGTAAATCTGGGCCTTCTAAAAGTGTCAAGTTTTTACTTTCCCAGACCTGTGACAGTTTCTTTATCTCTTGAATCTCCTGAGCCTCCCCTTCCCTCCTAGAAGGAACATGTTAATTCAGTGGACTCCACTGTGCAGTGTCCTCCCTGAGTCCGGCTTTTTTATATGGGTGCTGGCAATCTGAACTCAGGTCCTCATAGTTGCGCAGCAAGTACCTTACCCACCAAACCATCCTCCCAACTTCTAAATTAGTTTTGTTGTTGTTTTGCTTTGTTTTTGGTTTTTGAGATAGGGTTTCACTTTGTAGCCTGGAACTCACTGTGTAGCCCAGGCTAACCTTGAATTCATGGCAGTCCTCCTGCCTCAGTTTCCTAAGTGCTGGAATTACAGGTGCGAGCCTGAATTAGTTTTATTTTTAAAAGTATATAGCCCAATAGGTTATAGAAAAGGTTCTTTCCTTCCCCATTTCATTGGTTTTCTTTGGTATCACTCTGCCTGCTTGATCCGTACCCCCTTCTTTAAAACTCTAACCCTGCCCCCATCTCTCTCTTTCTGATATTGGGTGACCATGCAGGTGACCTTTCCTCTCTCACACAGTGATCTGGAGCCCGAGTGGCTGGACAGTGTGCAGAGGAATGGCGAGCTGTTTTACCTGGAACTGAGTGAGGACGAGGAGGAGAGCCTCCTTCCGGAGACACAGACCGTGAACCACGTCAGGTTCAGTGAGAAGGAGGTCATCATTGAAGAGGATGACTCCAGAGAAAGAAAGAAGCATGAACCCAAGCTCAAGCGCTTCACCAAGATCCTGAAGAGCAAAAGCCTTTTACCTAAGCGCTACCACAAAAAGAACAGCAATGACAGTGGCCCGGTGTCCATCCTGAAGCATCAGTCCAACCAGAAGACCGGGGTCACTGTGCAACAGCGGTACAAGGATGTGACTGTCTATATCAACCCCAAAAAGCTAACCGTCATCAAGCCCAGGGAGCAGCTCAAACTCCTGGAAGTGCTGGTGGGAATCATCCATCAGAGCAAGTGGAGCTGGAGGAGGAGCGGGAAGCCAGCTGATGGAGAGAGGCTTGTGGTGCACGGCCTGTTGCCAGGAAGCTCTGCCATGAAGAGCGGCCAGGTCCTGGTTGGTAAGTGCTGCTGCAGCCCCAATCCTTGTTTGCAGAGATGCGTGGTTAAGGGCAGTGTGATCCACAGTGTAGAAGGCAGGATTTACAGTCTCTAAGTAAAGTTGGTACGAATGATCTTCAAAGGAGTGCTTCTGTGTAACAGAAACATGCACCTAGTTCAGACCAGGGAGCAGAGCTCATCTTCAAGTTTTGAATAGTATAATTTTATTTCATCTTGCTTATGATTGCTGACAAGGAGAAGAAACTAAGTTGATTATACAGTGATCATTTAGGCTGGAACAGCTGCATCCAATAACATAATGCAAAATATATAATTTATGAATAAAAATACTTTTAAATTGTATGTTTGCACTGAGGACACCAAGTTCTTGGAGTGGCTGTAGACTGTCAATTGACCTTCTTAACGGCAGTGGTATTATATGTAAGTTCCTTTATAAGGGCACTTCTCTAAAATATCCCAGTTTTGAGAGGAAAAATACTAATTATTTTGAACATTTTAAGATGCATATTTTTGTATTGCTGATTTTAAGTCATGTGATATGACATGTGAGTTAATTAGCGACCTTATTCTACTTTATAATGATAGGCTAATCAAATGTGAAAATATATTTCTTTTTACGGTTATTTCTTTGTGCCTGGGCACGTGTACCTGGCATGTATGGAGGTCAGAGGGCAGCTCGTGGGAGTGGGTCTCTCCTGCCATCATGGGTTCCGGGCCTGGGCATCACCAGACTAGTTGGCAAGTGCGCTTACTCACTGAACATCTTGCTGGCTCTGGAAGCGCATTCTTAACTGCTCTGAAGTGTGTCTGTCTTCTCAGCTGACCCAGCCTAAAACAGGAGTTTTAGAAACATGTTCAAGTCTGTCTGTCCTGAAGTCTAAATCGCATTGTTTATTTATTGATTCAGAACGCATTTGACTGTTAAGTGTCAGGTGTGTGGAGTTTACACTGACGAGCTGACTGGTGGTGTAAAGGAGCTCATGTAATAGCGGGAGAGGATGTCAGAAATAGACATCATCACAGTGTGACAGACGACGTGGCAGCATCACAAAGCCAATTCTAAGGAGACGTGTCTGAAGGATCTCTGTCAGTGCATGAATTCCAAAATGCACGTCCACATTTTACAGCGAGATGTGGCCCAGCCAAAGCAGCAAGCAGCTGTGATTCGGGGAGAGACCCTGTCTCCGGGAGAGAAAGATAGAGGAAGACTCCAGCTTTTTGAGTAGCCTCTGCATGTACATAGGGACAAACTCGCACACACTCGTGCATGTAACACACACACACAGAGAGAGAGAGACAGAGAGAGAGAGAGAGAGAGAGAGAGAGAGAGAGAGAGAGAGAGAGAGAGAGAGAGAGAGAGAGAGAGAAAAGGCCACCCAAGAAGGATAGAACATTGAATCCTGGGGAAAGGATTGACCTTCCAGTGTTTCTTTGTCTGCACTGACATTCATCCTAGCTGCTGTAGCTCCGGGAGCTTTTAATGGATGAAAGCCTACTTATCGAGGAAGCCAGCAAGGTTACTGACTGCTTAGGAAGTGCATGGAAGTATAGGAAGACACTCAGGCAACAATAATGCTGTTCCATCATCATTGCTGCTCCACCAGACGTGTGGTCTGCATCCAAGTGCATGCGGAACGGCTTTGCACTTACTCAGGGGAGAGCTGAGGATGGGAACATTTAATTCGGAATCTTCGTGTTGGTATATGTGGATTTGAGGAGCTCCAGAAAGAGCAGCCCCAAGCAGAGGCTGTGTGTGAACTTCAAGAGCTGATCCCTTGAATAGAATAACTGCTGTTCTTCGCAATTCAGGACCTTCAATTACGCTTGATCAGGAAAGACCAGGGCACCGGCCAAGCTGTTGCCCATAGTCTGTTCTCGTAGTATACTTCTTAATATACCAGGTAGTATTTCCAGCTTTAGGAGGATTTTGTTTTTGAATCTTTAGTTATTTTTCCACCTATTATTTTAAAGTGTCGACAGTGTTTTATATTATGTATTGGGTTGTTTTTGTGTATCTGTGTGTTCCCCTGGCACACACTTCTCCATTATCTCTAATACTGGAGGTGTAAATTTTACAACGCATCTTAGAAGGTCTTGACTCATTATATTTGTTTATTTTTCAGATTAGACTCCAAGGGCATGCACCGTTACTAAGCTAGCTTTGCATGCAAACATCGGGTATGCACATAAACACGTTGAGCCTTCCTCACGTATGTACCCCGTGCTGGCCTTGAACTCCTGATTCTCTTGCCTCTACACCCCAAAAGCTAGGATTACAGGTGTGTGCCATAAAACCTGGGTTAAATTTTCCTTAGCAAATAAAAAGGTATCTTCTTCCTGTGTCTGCATTTGATGACTTTGAGATGTCTCAGGGTCTCAGTTCCATCAGCAACTGAAATTGTCGGTCTCGGTATTCCAGGTGACAGAGTTAGGACGCTGTGCACAGCTACCCACTATGGTGATACACATGTACACATCTTGCTTTCTGGCCTCTCTCTGTGAGTGTGGCTTGTCTGCTATAAGTGCGCCTGTCATTAGTGAGACAGGCCAGTGATGTTTCTCTTCTGTCCTTTTACAACAGCAGAACCCATCCTGCACTTACTTTCTTTGCTTAGGTCTCGGAGACTTCCGTCCTTTGGGGGTGGTGCCAGTATTTGCTGCTCGCCTACATTTCTGTTTCTAAGAATTCTCTGAAAGCTTGGCAATCAGCTGGAAGCAGTAGCCAGCTGGTATCTTTCAGACCAGAGCAAATAGAATATACTCTCTTACCTACATCGTGGAAGCTGCCTTGGTGGGGCTTTTTTCTTCAATATTAGTCATTTTTGGTCATAACTCGATTTTGTTTCCCTTGGGACTGAACATGAGTCTTTTGGCCACGGCTTCTTGGAAAGGACAAAGCAGGAGGAGTGGGTGCCAGGCCAGCTGTGCTTCACAGGCTTGCAGGTGATGGAGAGAGAACTCACCTGTAGAGCTTGGCTCCTGCCCACCCCATTGCCCACCGTTTCAGGCAGGATGACCATGTTCCTTAGGCGGATCTTCACCACCTGGGGCTTCTCCATGGGTGGTACCTCCTTCTTGCCCTTTCTCAGGCCCTAAGCAGGAGTCCTGCCTGTGCTCCTCGCGACTTTCTGGTTTTCTTACAGACAGCGTCTCTGTCTTATTCTGTCCCCGACGGCGTTTGGCTTTTCCCTTCTCATGCTTTCTGGCTGCAGGAGAGGGGCTAGAACACACAGTTTGTTGCAAGGACAGGATTTTAGTGTCTCCTCCCTGGGAAGCCACCGCCATGGTTATTTCCTTCTGCAGAAGTGGGACAGAGGCATTAACAGCTGCTGCTCAGGAGCAAACTGTTCATCACTGACAGACCTGGGCCCGTGTTCTCATCCCCACTCAGTCCCGCGGGCCTGCTGTGTTGGTTGCTTCTGTACATGGGGATAGCACCAAAGGATTTATTTCTCACTGAAAAAACAAAGAAGAAAAGAAATTGTTTATGCTATTCAAAATATAATTTATACATGAGTATCACTCTGCAACAGTATATAATTTAGCCTATTTGATTCATTTCTGGACATTTATCTTGAAAAAACATTCAGAACAGATAGGCAAACGAGATAGAGCCAGCAGGTCTCATCAGGCTTACTACCTGTGTTTTCTAAAAGGCTTAAATGATTTACAGCATAGGAAAGGTATTTGGAACCCAAATATGGGTGTTTGGAAATAAAATATTATTGCACACAGCCCCAACCATTTATCTGTTGTCTCTGGCAGAGTTCAGATGGAGTTGGTGGAAGAGCTGAGCAGTTGAACACAGACCATTACCACCAAAGCATGAATAATAGAAGAAGTTTGTTAAGCCTAGTGTTATTCTTGACAATTTTTTTCCATTTAGAGTCAGTGTGTGTCCTTGTCACACTGTACAGAAAGCAGACTTGACCTGCGCTCAAGAGAGAGAGATTCTCTGACATTCAAGCTGTGCACTGTACAAATACTCCTGAAAAGATGACAGAACCCAGACCCAGAAGACATTCAGAAGCTGTTGGGTTTCTTAGCCCACTTGCATGCTCACTACCCTCCTCAAAGAGTATTAAACTTTCTGAGAGGAGAGAGTTGGTCTTTCACAAAATCTTTTCTTGATTTTCTTCTGCAGTGGTTTAAGGACAAGACTTGATGTGTATAGTCTGGAACGATGAGACAGTCCCGTCGATGTGTTTGTGGTTTTGTTAACACAGCTTGCTAGGGCTCTGATATTACTTTCAATTATGTTCTTGTAAGCTGAAGATCCCAGATAAAAAGCTACACCTTTGTCTGAAGACTCTGCAAGGCTGAGTGCATGGTTAGAACTTCGCGATTGAGGGGATTTGGGGTGCTGAAGATGCAGACCCAGGCTATCTTGGACTGCTGTTGCCCTAGTCACTGACCAACCTGTATCTGTCTTTTAGGCTCACATAGTGTTCCATGTCCAGTCTTTCACTGTCAGCTAGAGCTTTTGCAATGTATTTTTAGCGAAGCAGAAGCCTCCACCAGCCCCCAAGTTCAGGCTCTCTCCAGAAAGTATGTGATACTCATAGACCACCGAAGGTATGCCAGCCCACCTACCTGGGACCCCACCAGTGAATCTGGTAACTGCCCCTGCACTGATTGACAGCTGAATTTTATTCTGGCTCATGTAACCACTGCCGCAGCTGAGCACGTTTGGAGCACCCTGAATCTGAGTTCCTGGACCAGGATCACTCAGGTTTAACCCCAGAAGAAATTGACTCTTACTCTCTTTGGGCAAGAGCTGTGTTGTGTATCAATAGTTTGAAAGTAAAATTTGATTTTAGTAGTGATTTTGATTTTAAAATTAGATAAATAAAAGCATCTGAAGAACAGTCATGGTGAAGATTTTGCCCAAAACATGCTTGTCATGTTGGTATCGTCGGAAGCTGTGGAACAAAGGCCTGTTCTGCAGACACCAGTCAGTGGTCGCAGCAATAGCACAGCGCGTTGCCATGTACCACATGGATTTAATTAAAATGTCAGCTGGATTTTTTTTTATTACTATTGGTCTGAGTGGTTAGATTCAATTTTGTTAAGTGTAATACTTGGTTTATGCTAAAATTTTTCCGTTGGTCCTTTGGGTTCACGTACCCTTTAGTTACACTGAGACTAGGAATATCCATATCTTCAAATATTCATGGTTGGCAGAGGTATGGTACACTGTTGGGAAGCATAATGGCCAAGCTGGGTGATTGGCTGTGTCCCTAATGTTCGGAATAACCTCGGATGAGTCCCTGCATGTACCACATTTTCCATTAGGCCCTTGTGGTAATCCAGACAGCTGTTTCCTCGTGTCGCGAGGCCAGGACTTTTCAGTTTGGGATATTCACCCAGTTGTCTTCTGTTTTTCTCTTTTTAGGCGATGTCCTTGTGGCCGTGAATGATGTAGATGTGACTTCTGAAAACATAGAGAGAGTTCTGTCTTGCATCCCTGGACCAATGCAGGTGTGGCCATCCCCTTCCATATTGTGTACGGTGTTGCCTAAAGTACATCCGTTCTGTGCTGGTTTCTTTCTAAGATGCTGAGATTATCTCCCGTGTCGCGGTGAGTGACACCGAAGCCTGAGCACCGAGGGCAGCTTCGGCTCTTGCTAATACTTAGCTTTGGAGATGAAGGGAGTCCTGGTCAATTACTGGCTGCCCTCTGAATGTCTTTCCTACCATCCCAGTGCAGAGCCCTTGGCCTCTTTTTAACAGTGCCGGTCTTTACATATCCACTGGCAGCAACTTTAAACATACTCCATCTCTGGCTAAAATATAAGTCTTTCAAATGTTTCTGCCCTGTTTCCTGCTCCTGATTCTCACTGTTAATCTGGCTAAAATCTTCAGATATCACAATGCCACCGTCTGAATGTCATGGGGCCTTGAGATTTCCTGTTAGATTAATTTTCTGTCACCTTTAAATTCAGGATCATGGCTTCAGTGCATAGGTAAAATGCATATTGCATTTCTGTCAGGCATCTGGTTTTCTAGCCCTTTTCTCAGAACTTCTTTACGTCAGCTCCTAGGCTCCTGAGCTGCCATCAGGCGTAGATGTCACAGAACACACTACTTCTTTCAAAAATCGCTTAGCTAAACAATTTCATTCTTTACTAATTCCATGGATACATACAGTGTGTTTTTTGTCCCGTCCAATGTCCATCTCCTCTCCTTCCAATCTTCCTGAAGTCCCCACCCAGTGTATCCCTTTCCTGACTTCATCCCCCTTCATCCTCCTGCCCTGGTCAAATTAGAGCTGAGGGTGTGTGCATGAGTGTGGGACACGATCTACTACCGTGAGACACATCAGCGAAGAAAGATGATCTCTCTGCCTCCGTGGCCATCCACTGCCAATAACTCCTTAGGGAGGACTGGGGCCTTGTGAGCCCTCCCCCGTCCATGCTGTCCTGCAAACTGGCTTGCTCCCCTGCAGGTCTCCTGCAGGCAGCCATGCTGCTGTGAGCTTACACGGGCAGCTTCATGTCCGGAAGATGCTTGCTCGTGGACCCTTAGCTCTTGCAGACTTGTTGCCAACTCTTCTATGGTGTTGTGTTCCCTGAGTGCACCTGCACTTCTTCATACAGATCGTCTGACATGTTAGGGCCTCGCCATACCTACAGGAGTCCAGTGGTTGGTGGTCCTGGTTTATACATAACGAAAAGGACTCTGTAGCACCCAGGGGGCTGAGGCAGGAGGATTGTGAGCCAGACTAGACTGGATGATGAGATCCTATGAAAGAGAGAGTTTAGGAACTGCTTAGTGATTCCCCCAAAGCTGCAGAATCAGTTACTCAAAGTACCAGACTGCAGGCTAACCCAAAGTATGTTCCTTCCTTCTCCTTTCAACCTGTGTGCTTCTGGTGCCTTGGTGGGCGAGACCCAGCTGAGGTAGACCTGTCCAAGGCATGGCATGTGCGAAACAGCCCCTCCAGCCATGAGAGGAAGAGAGAGCTCAGGTTTATAAAGAATTCCACTAGAGACTTTAATCCTGGGCATGCCGAGCAGTGACATCATAAAAATGCACTTGGAGCATAGTGAGGTCTATCGCTTCTTGTTCTCCATCAGACAGTGGCCTTCAAGACAGTGTAACAGGAAGAAAGACACTGGGAGAACAGATCAGACCTCCGTGTAACACCTCACAGAGACTCCAGATCAGCTTTCCTCAACTGTAATCAGAGGGCATCTAACGGGAAGTCTTCAAATCCAGTTCCAGCTCCACTGGTGTGTGCTGACATAAAATGCAGAGGCAAAGCCCACTTTAACATTCCACAACTAGCTTTGTGGTTTTGTTTTTCATCTTTCTAGATGCTTCAAAAGTGTTAATAGCATGCTGGTGTTGGGCTGTGGAATAATGGTAGAGTGTGTGCTTAGCATGTGTAAGGCCCTGACTTACAAAGCCCAGCACACACACACACACACACACACACACGCACACGCACACGCACACTCATCATGAAAAAAATGGCTGGAAAACTCCTACACATTAAAACAGATTGAACCGTGTGTGACTGTGAATTACTTAGGGTTTCTATTGCTGTGAAGAGACACCACGACCACGGCAACTCTTATAAAGGAAAACATTTAATGGGATGGTTGCTTACAGTCTCAGAGATTTGGTCCATTAGCATCATGGTGGGACATAATGGCATGCAGGCAGCCTTGGTGCTGGAATCCTACTTCTTGATTGGCAGGCAACAGGAAATGGAACTGAGACCCTGGGTGTGACTTGAGCATATGAGACCTCAAACCCACCTCCACAGTGGCATACTTCCTCCAACCAGGCCACACAACTACTCCAACAAGGCCACACCTCCAAATAATGCTGCTCCCCATGAGCTTATGGGGGTCAGTTTCATCCAACCCACCACAGACTGCATCCCATGCAGCAGGCAGTCCTTGAATGCTCCTGGATTGAAGGAGGAAGAGCTCTACTGGATGACTGGGGAAATTTGGGCTTGTAATTTATTAGATAGTGGTAGTGGCTGAGTATCTCTTATCCAAAATGCTTGCTACCAGAAGTGAGTGGGTGAGTGCTGGGCAGGGAAGAGAGGGAGGGAGGGGAAAGTAGGAAGAAAGACAGAGAGGGAAAAGATGTGTTACATTTGTTTGTGCCCTGTTTGTTTAATTGTGTAAAGATGTATTGCATTTGTTTCACTTTGCCTGCCTAAGGCACCTGATTGGTCTGTTGAAAAGTTGAATAGCCAATGGCTAGGCAGTAGAGAGATAGGTGGAGTTTTTAGGCAGAGAGAATAAGTAGAAGGAGAAATATAAGAAGAAGAAAGAATGAGAGGAAGAAGAGAGGCTAGAGCGAGGGAGAAAGAAAGGGAGAGGTCTGGGCCAGCCAGGCAGCTGCCTGCCAGCAGACACAGATGAAAGAAAGATAAAAAACCCCGAGGCAAAACACAGATAAAGAGAAACAGATTAAAATAAGAGCTAAGATAAGGCAAAGCACCGATAACTAATAAGACTTCTCCGGGTGATGATTTGGGAGCTGGTTGGTGGCCCAAAAGAAAAATTCTAGTACAGGGAATTCCGTCATAGCGGGGAAACTCGTGGCAGAGGTCATGACTGCTGGAGTGTCTGAAGGAAACTCTTCCTGTCTGGGCAGACCACAAAGTAGAAAAATGAACGTGGATGCTCAGCTATTTTTCATTTTTTCCCTTTTATTCAGTCTGGGACATCATCCCATGGGATGGTGCTGCCCACATTTAGGGTAAGTCCTCCCCTCAGTAAACTCTGGAAACAACTTACAGACATGGCCCGTGTGTGTCTCTTAGGTGATTCTAAATCTAGTCAAGGTGACAGTGAAGACTGGCCATGATGAGATGAGCCCCTTATCCTGAAGCCTTTAGTGGAGTGCCACATGGAAATGTTGGGGAGCAAGTGAGGCATAAATGTGTACCCCAAAACCAATAAATAAAAGAGAGAAAGAGGAAGAGGGGCCAGGCCCCCACCGTTCCCCCTAGGCATGCCCCCTCTTACCTTTCAGCCTCCCATTAGCACTGTACCCTGGCCATGCCTTTACCCTGTGAATTTCTGAGAGACACTTTCAAATCAATAGGAACTTGCTTACACAGTAAATCCTGACATTTAGAAAAGATGTGTGTCTAACTTAATTCACGTCAGTAAAAGCTGCTACCAGCTCCAGATAAGCAAAAGTGAATATGACCCCAAACACTCCTTGCCAACAAGAAAAAATACCTGATACATATTTTTCTCTTTTGGAAGATTTTTTTCAACATGTTTTGTTTTACAATATAATACCTATAACAGTTGAGTAGGTAGGTAATATATACACACATGCATACATATGTATGAATATATATATTCATGTGTATATATTCATGTGTATATATTATATATATAAAAGCATATAAAATTTGTTTTTAAAAATGATCATAATGTATTAGTACTTATTACATCTTTAGAATTGTACCTCTTATAATAAATTATTAAAATAGGAATTATTTAGTATCGTTTTTAGTCTTTAAGTACTTTCCTTAAATATAACTTGCTGCCTTAATACAATGTTTTCAATCATTGGGTAGTCTTGTTTATTCTTGAACAAGCATTAATTAATGAGTTAATTAATTAGAGGCAGAGTATCACTGTACAGTCATGGCTGGCCTGGAGCTTCTTGTATACACCAGGGTGACCTTGAACTCACAGATCCACCTGCACCTGCAGAGATTAAGGGGAACGACCATCACTCCCGGCTTACTCTTACTTTGAAAAGCATTATTTGCATCCAAATTTAAAACTTTATGGATGATTCCCTCGAAAGGGGCATTTTTAGAATATCAACATCTGGAGCACCATGGCTCCCGAGCTTACGACGATGCCCTCCTTGTCCAGCGTTCATTATATGCTCATGCCTGTGCGTCTTTGAGATGAGCAGGCTGTCTCCAGCCAGCCGGCACTGTGCAGGTGTCTCCGTTTTCAAGGAGGGGTGTCTGTCAGCGGCCGGAAAACCCGCTGCATTCTGGATCCTGACCAGTCTTGACATCAGGCTGTGAAATTAAAACTCTCCTGATAAAACTGGCAGATGATCCTGGTGGTGCAGCTCCCGAATGCCGGCGGTTGTTAGTTTGCCAGTGCTCTCTTTAGCCCCTCTTTAAAGGGCTACAAAGACCGTCTGAGAGGAGACTGTTTGAAACCTGCCCCATTTGGAAGGAAAGGCAACTCCCTCCCAGTGTGTAAGGTTACGCTTGGCCCCAGCCTCTCCCTCTTCACTTTCTCTGTGAGTCAGTGCTATTTGCAGCAAAGATGTGCAGTGACTGACTATTCTGTACTCAAACTATATGATTTCCGCTCTTCTGTGGTCTCTTTGTGCAGTCAGTGACTGCATTTGTGTGAATGAATTTTCATAGGGAGCATTGTACTTTTCACTCAATAAATATTTGTAGTGTGTGTGTGTGTGTGTGTGTGTGTGTGTGTGTGCCCACCACTGTGAAAGGAGTTAGGTACAGATACAAGTGAACTCCCTGTCCTCACCATTAGCCCCTGCTCTGAGGTACCATCGCCTCATGTGCACTCCTGATTATATATGTCAGCACATGGCTTTCTTTGTTTTAAAAAAAAATGCACCTGATATTTGCCTTCTTGAAACATCAAGCATTTTGTTTTCTGTTTTTCAGGTGAAGCTGACATTTGAAAATGCCTATGCAGTGAATAAGGAAACAACACAGCCGAAAAAGAAAAAGCCACAGTCGAGCACGAACGATTTGGTGAAACTTCTGTGCGGGTTGGAGGCCGACGGCACCCAGCACAGTACCCTGGGCGCCCCCCACATCACCATGTACCTCTCACTGCAGCTCCAATCAGAGGTCTCCAAGGAGGAGGTGAGTGTCTGCTCCCTCTGCTGCAGGAGGAGGGGACCATCCGTCAGCCCAGCTTATGCAGACTTGGGGGTTAGCTGTCTCTTATCGTGAGTGTGTGTTCTACTGGTGTATGTACTGGTGTATGTCACCAGGGTTTTCAAGCCACTAAGAGAAGAGGACATATGCGTTTCAGCTCTTCTCAGTGATGGGGAATGAAACCCCCAAAGCTTCCTTTTGCAGTTTGTCATATGAAATGTGCATGTCCTTGTGTTGTTTTCTGTCTGTTTAATAACAATTGAAGTGATAAAGATGAAATTAATTGTATATGTACTACTTGGCATTGTTATGTTCTGAAAAATATATAGCCCTCCCATGTTAATAATTCTAATTTCTTCCATCTTGCTGGCTCCTAGGATCTTTAGAACAAATGAGCCATTTAAGCATTTAAGTTTGAATCCTCCCATGTTTGGGGGGTACTGTCCTGAAGCTTCCCAGCCCACATGTCATCGTGCCTGACTTTCTCTGGAAAGTGTGGGAATGCCTCGCAAATAAACAGGTTGCTGTCTGTGGCCAGTTCTGTGGCCAATATCGTAATTAGGAGAGGCTCTTTATTTTTACCACGCAGAGTGGAAGCTTCTGTTAGTGCGAGCTACTAACGAGGGCTTTAAAAATGCAGCTAATTAAATTGGCTGGTCGCTGCAGAGCTCGCCAGCCCCTCAATACCAAGGCTTTTCAGACTCCTATGGCGACTTCCTTAAATGGCCTCTTTTTTCCTCTACTATGTTACTGTACAATGAAATGTCATGGGGTCCTTTCTTTCTCTGAGCGTTACATAATTGATACAGAGCTTGTCTTCCAGTTGCAAGATTTGGAATGCAAGGATCACAAGATGGAGACTTCTAAAACACTAATCTAAGACTGTTAAAAGCAGCCTTTGGTATTTTGACAAAATAGAATGGAAGTATTTTTTGGGGCAAGGTTTAAATTAATTAAGTCAGCATCACAGATTTTAGTTCATGTTTGACTTAATTTCTAAAGATAAATAATAAAATACTATTTAGCTGCTTTTACAGTGAAAATTGCAATAAATTTGAATCATAATGCAGTGTATTTGGCAAACATATCCCATAGCATATATTAAATAATTTACATATATAAGATGGTCTTAGTAAGTATGCAAAGTAGGTTGCACAGTGTCTCATCATCGTATCTGTGATAATGTGAAAATTGTAAATACACGGACACTGTGCCACATAACTATTCTCATAGAGATGTTTAGCAGTCTTTAGATGCAGAATCAAGGAAAAGCTTGGCCAGTGTATTTGAGGATTTGAGGAGTTAGGACTTTGTGTTGTAGCAATTATAGCCGTTAGAGTAATTGGAAGTTACTCTGAATTCTTCATGATTTCTATCTAGAAGTTTTAATTTTGTCTTCTTTTAATTTGTCATGTGAGAAACTAGATGTTGCCTAAATGTTAGCAGAAAGTGTGGCTCAAGCTGCCTGATGTTTTAGGAGGTCAGCACACTGCAGGTCCCCAATGTTTTAGGAGGTCTGCACACTGCAGGTCCCTGATGTCTTAGGAGGTCAGCACACTGCAGGTCCCCGATGTTTTAGGAGATCCTAAACACTGCAGGTCCTACTTAGAGACTCATTATTTTACTTTCGTTAAAGCTCTCTATTTCTTAGAAACAGGTTCTCATTGAAAACAGAAAAATAGTAGCCATTTTCTAAACTATCGTGTAAATTAGCCTTTTCCACAATTTGCAATAAAATGTGCCCTTTCATGTAGACTTATGCTGCTTAAGCTCTCCCATACTTAAGTTAGAGATTTTATAATCCTGTGATACTTCTTTTCTTCCTCTTTGTACTTCTTCAGTTTTGCATTCTCACTTTGTAAATATAATTAAGTAAATACTTAGTAATATCACTAAAAATAATGATTATCTTTTAAGATTCAGCATGAAAGAAATTAAAAGATTCCTAGGAGTAACGCATGGGGTTTAAAGCTTAAAACACTATTTGAAATCAATAGTAATTGTAATTGTGTAGCTTGGTCTCCTAAGTAATGAAGTCTCTAAACTCACTTTCAAGTGTAGCATTTGAAATGCTTGTTGAAGCTTAACACTCCAGGCATAGTTCTGCCCTGGGGTCTGAATGAGACTCCAACTGTAGCTGAAAGGATCCCCATTCTGTTCTTTGTACAATGTCTGAACTTTCAGGACTGATGTTGGTTGGAGCATCTGAGAGCTCATCGTCTGTTCTTGCCCTAACAGCAGGAAATTCTGTACCATTACCCAGTGTCTGAAGCCGCTCAGAAACTCAAGAGCGTGAGGGGGATTTTCCTCACCCTCTGTGACATGCTGGAAAGTGTGACGGGGACACCGGTTACTAGGTAACAATGTTTCACTCTTTCTGCAAGTTCTCACCTTTGGAATCTATGATAAAGGGATTCCTGTCCGTGGCAGAGTGCACTGTGGGGAGGACAGCGGCGCAGCTGTTTCAGCTAAACATTTCTTTTATCTGGAATCTATGTTTTTAATTCAGCAGTAAGTCAGGGATTTGCCAGGATCATTTAATTAACAGAGTTGGCTGTTGACCCATAGTTACAATTCTTCATGACAATGTCATCTTTGAGTTGGCAAAATGGCTCATGGGTAAAGGCGCTTGCCGCGAGCCTACCAACCCTGTCAACCTGAGTTCAATTCCTGGGACCAGATGGGGGATTGAGAGAACAGACTCCTACAAGTTGTCCCCGAACCTCCACACTCAAACTGTGGTACACTTGCCACATGCACACATGTGTACAACACACACACACGCACACAATTACTTTAAAAGAAAGTGTTATCTTTTAAACATGACATTATTATGTATCTTGACTCTTGACTTCCTTATGTTTTTATTGTGGTTGTCAACTCACTCAGGAAGATGCTAAATTTTTCACATGGTTATAAAATACTCTGATTTTACATTAACGATGGAGAAATATAGACTGTTTTTTAGGAAGACGATTCAGAACTCAGACTGGCCATGGTCAATGTCAGAACATTTTTATCACCTTAAAAGGGAACCCTGTGCGTCTCAGCTGTGAGCCTGTGCACAGCTCAAGGCTCAGGCACCCCATTGGCCTGTTATCCTTGAAGTTTATTTAGTGATGAAAGGGCAGAAATCACAACTGGATTGTCCTGCAGTGGTCAGCACCCTGCACACGGCCTTGGGTCCATCTGTAGCACCAAGGGAAGAAGAAGAGAGAGGGGAGAGGCCGGGTAGGGGAACTCCTCAGCCACAGGATTTGCCAGGCCTAAGTCTGATGCCATGTTTAAGTTAGGGGATGAAGGGCTCAGAGCTTTTGAGTTTGGTTTGTCATAAAATAAATTATTGCTATTTTTCTACTTTAGTATTTCAATAATCTAAAATTCATGAAAAATGGTTAGTTCAAGTTTTAACAGCTCCCTTATTACTGATAAAATATGAGGTTAGATATCCCAGATTGTAACTTTTTTAAGTATTAGAAGATATGGGGTATGTAAAATAATGGGGAAAATTTACTTGTTTTCCTAAATAAAAGCTAGGTATAAATCTTTGACTTTTTAATATATAGATATATTGATTATATATATATTTTAATTTATTTATTTATTTATTTATTTTTATTTATTTATTTATTAAAGATTTCTTTCTCTTCCCCACCGCCGCCTCCCCTTTCCCTCCCCCTCCCCCAATCAAGTCCCCCTCCCTTGTCAGCCCAAAAAGCAATCAGGGTTCTCTGCCCTGTGGGAAGTCCAAGGACCACCCACCTCCATCCAGGTCTAGTAAGGTGAGCATCCACGAAATTGCCTAGGCTCCCACGAAACCAATAGGTCCAGTAGAATCAAAAACCCGTTGCCATTGTTCTTGAGGTCTCAGTAGTCCTCCTTGTCCGCTATGTTCAGCGAGACCGGTTTTGACCCAGGCTTTTTCAGACCCAGGCCAGCTGGCCTTGGTGAGTTCCTGATAGAACATCCCCATTGTCTCAGTGTATGGGTGCACCCCTCGTGGTCCTGAGTTCCTTGCTTGTGCTCTCTCTCCTTCTGCTCCTGATTTGGACCTTGAGATTTCAGTCCGGTGCTCCAATGTGGGTCTCTGTCTCTGTCTCCTTTCATCGCCTGATGAAGGTTAATATGCAGGAGGATGCCTATATGATTTTCTTTGGGTTCTCCTTCTTATTTAGCTTCTCTAAGAACCCGAATTATAGGTTCAATGTCCTTTATTTATGGCTAGAAACCAAATATGAGTGAGAACATCCCATGTTCCTCTTTTAGGGTCTGGCTTACCTCACTCAGGATGGTGTTTTCTATTTCCATCCATTTGCCTGCAAACTTCAAGAAGTCCTTGTTTTTTACTGCTGAGTAGTACTCTAATATGTATATATTCCATACTTTCTTCATCTCATCCATTCTTCGATTGAAGGGCATCTAGGTTGTTTTCAGGTTCTGGCTATTACAAACAATGCTGCTATAAACATAGTAGAGCATATACTTTTGTTGTGTGATAAGGCCTCTCTTGGTTATATTCCCAAGAGTGGTATTGCTGGGTCCATGGGTAGGTTGATCCCAAATTTCCTGAGAAACCTCCACACTGCTTTCCAGAGTGGTTGCACAAGTTTGCATTCCCACCAGCAATGGGTGAGTGTACCCCTTTCTTCACAACCTCTCCAGCAAAGGCTATCATTGGTGTTTTTGATTTTAGCCATTCTGACAGGTGTAAGATGGTATCTTAAAGTGGTCTTGATTTGCATTTCCCTGATCGCTAAGGAAGTTGAGCATGACCTTAGGTGTCTTTTGGCCATTTGAACTTCTTCTGTTGAGAGATCTCTGTTCAGCTCGGTGCCCCATTTTATAATTGGGTTGATTAGCCTTTTACGGTCTAGTTTCTTGAGTTCTTTATATATTTTGGAGATCAGACCTTTGTCAGTTGTGGGGTTGGTGAAGATCTTCTCCCAGTCAGTGGGTTGCCTTTCTGTCTTAGCAACAGTGTCCTTTGCTTTACAGAAGCTTCTCAGTCTCAGGAGGTCCCATTTATTCAATGAGGCCCTTACTGTCTGTGCTGCTGGGGTTATACGTAGGAAGTGGTCTCCTGTGCCCACGTGTTGTAGAGTACTTTCTACTTTCTCTTCAATCAGGTTCAGTGTGTTTGGACTGATATTGAGGTCTTTCACCCACTTGGACTTGAGTTTTGTGCATGGTGATAGATATGGGTCTATTTTCATTCTTCTACAGATTGACATCCAGTTTTGCCAGCACAATTTGTTGAAGATGCTCTCTTTTTTCCATTGTATACTTTTAGCTCCTTTATCGAAAATCAGGTGTTCATATGTTTGTGGGTTAAAGTCAGGGTCTTCTATTCGATTCCATTGGTCGACTTCTCTGTTTTTATGCCAATACCAAGCTGTTTTCAATACTGTAGCTCTGTAATAGAGTTTGAAGTCAGGGATGGTAATGCCTCCAGATGTTCCTTTATTGTATAAGATTGTTTTGGCTATCCTGGGTTTTTTGTTTTTCCATATAAAGTTGATTATTGTCTTCTCCAGATCTGTGAAGAATTTTGATGGGATTTTGATGGGGATTGCATTGAATCTATAGATTGCTTTTGGTAGAATTGCCATTTTTACTATGTTGATCCTCCCAATCCAAGAGCAAGGGAGATCCTTCCATTTTCTGGTGTCCTCTTCTATTTCTTTCTTCAAAGACTTGAAGTTCTTGTCAAATAGATCTTTCACTTCCTTGGTCAGGGTTACCCCATTGATTATATATTTGAAGACAGTGGTGCTTGAGACTTTATTTCATACACAAATTTATATTTATAAAATCAGCTTGTCAGATTTCTATTTATTCTTCATTCATTCATTCATTCATTGCAGGGATCCAAACAAGGAACTCATGCCTGTCCGTTAAGTGCTGTATACCACTAAGCTATGGCCCCAGCCTCTCTTTTAATTTTTTTAACAGCTTTGCTTAACTGTAGTCCATAAATCATACAATTTACCCATTTTTAAAAGTGTACAAGTAGGGGCTGGAGAGATGACTCAGAGGTTAAGAGCACTGGCTGCTCTTCCAGAGGACCTAGGTTTGGTTCTCAGCACTTTGGTATCCCAAAGTATCTACAATTTCAGTTTCAGGGGGAACTAGCAGCTTTTATAGCTTCTGAGGGTACCGGGCATATGCATGGTGCAGATATACATGGGGGCAAAGCAAATATATATATATGCAAATCACTCTCTTTTTAAAAAAGTACTCAAGTAAATATTCAAGCGTATTCATAGACTGGCCATGGTCAATGTCAGAACATTTTTATCACCTTAAAAGGGAACCCTGTGCCTCTCAGCTGTGAGCCTGTGCACAGCTCAAGGCTCAGGTACCCCATTGGCCTGTTATCCTTGTCTACAGAGATCCCTGCTGGAGACATTTTAAATGAATATAATCATAAGATGAATGTTCATTTGTTTTTTAAAAAAATTGTTTTTAGTTGTGTGTGTGAGTTGGGGTAGTTTGTGTACATGAATGTAGGTGCATCTAATTCCTTGATGCTGGAGTTAGAGACACCCATGTGAACCTAACATGGGTGCTGGGAACAAAACTTGTCTTCCAGGGGAGCAACACTTATTCTTAACTACCAAGCCATCATCCCAGCTCCCAGACTAACGTTTTAATTTGTGTTTGCTTGTTTTCTGGTTTTGTTTTATTTTAAATTTAAGGTTTTTCATGTAGGTTTGTTCTTTGCTTTTCTCTGCTGTGTAGGTTAGATGTCATTTTACTTAGTAGTTAGATCTTGTCAGTAATGATAAGATAAATAACGGTATCGAGGAAAACCTTTTTGAGGAAACAATGATTGTGAAATGTTATTTTCAGAGTTCCCAAACAATATGTGTCTTGTTGCATATTCATTTTAAAAAAAATTTAATAATGCTAGTATGATATAAAAGAGGCTAATATTTGCCTAAAAGTATATGTACCTCTAAACTTTAAGATAAGAATAATAGTTTGAAAAAAAATTTCTTAATAGTTCTTATTTAAAGCAGCACACACTTGTGCTCTCTGTATTTCCATAATTGGTTGTTGTAACTTTTCAGAAGTTACCTAATCGTTTGCAGCTGCATGAAGTGTAATTAAGAATAAACTGCACATGCTTGAAATGCACACACGTCACAGCTGACAGACGCGTTCCCTCTGTATCCATCACACACTGTGCACATGCCCTGTCCTGGAGTTCCGTTGAGCAAGATGTGCCTGTGACTCCGGTTCCATCACTTGCTCCTACGCCCACATCTCATAGTGTTGGGTTGTCATCTTTTAGCTGGAATCACTGTTTTCTTTTCTTTGTAATCTCCTAAGTAGTCATGTCCATACATGGGCAATCACAAAGTCTCCGTGGAATTAGTGAGCTAAGAGGGAAACAGTCGTTTTAAGAAACTAAACTGTATGTAGCTACTTAATGTCAACAAAACATTTCACTTCACATACACCCCAGTTTGAGACAGGGAGGCTCTCACTGTGTAGCCCTGATGTCCTGGAACTTTTGTACTCAAACTGGATTTGAAATCACAGCAATCCTTCTGCCTCAGCCTCTTAAAGGCAGGGTTGTAGGCATGTGATGACTCTACTTTTGTGTGTCCTGGGGGTTTGGAAATAATTCCAAATATGTTTTTGTTGCTGCACAACCCCTGCCTTTTCTGTGTGGTAGTTAGGTATGTGCCAAGAAACTTCTTATTAAGCAATTTGGTTCTTAAATTATACCATATGTAACCTTTTAAGGATATTTTTATATCTCCATAAAAGTTACTCTAACCACATTTTGATTTTATGTTTTTCTTAGCTCATCCCTCCATTTAAATGGGAAACAAATTCACGTTGCTTTCTTGAAGGAGTCTGACAAGTTGTTGTTAATTGGCCTGCCTGCTGAAGAGTGAGTTGAAGTTTTTATTGTTTACCTTTAAAAAAAATTTCTGAAACTATGGTAACAATAGCGACACAAAGTAAAATGGTGGTCAACAAAGCCTGTCTCATTAAATTATGCCACGTTTATCGAAAAGAAAACTCCTCGTGCTGGTTTCATGATCCCAGCGTGCTGCACTGGGGAAGTAGATAACTGTTTTGGGGAGCTGTCAGAACAGCCTACACAGAGGTAGCATTCAGTCCAGCTTCAAAAATCCCCATAGTCTATAACAGTCTCAAATTGGTCTCAACGTCTAAAGTCTCTTCCGAGACAACTGCCAATCTCTTAACTGTAAAAATCAAAATCCAAAAGCAGATCACATACTTGCAGCATATAATGGCACGAGATATACATGACCATTCCGAAACACAGGGAAGGGACTAAAACAAGGAAATACTGGACCAGAGCAAAACCCAAGACCGGCTGGGCAAACTCCAAACTCTGTATCTCCATGGCTGATGTCAGAATGCTCCTCAGATCTCCGACTCCTTTCAGCTTGGTTGACTGCAGCACACTTCTTTCTCTTGGGCTGGTTCTACTTCCTGTCAGCAGCCTCCTCAGTAGATACCCCACAGCTCTGGCATCTCTAGCATCCTGTGTCTTCACCTCACAGCTTCACACAATGGCCTCTCTAGTCTCCATTCATACACCTCGCCTCAGCGGCTTTCCTTAGTGGGGGAGGAAGATTCCATAACTCCTTTCTTCTACCCTTGATTCTAAAGCCAGAACCACATGGCCAAAGCTGCCAAGTTCTGCCTGCTGGGGCTGGAACATGGCTCCCTAATTCAGTTACATCTTCACTAGCTTTCTGTTTTCAATAGTTTCTTTTACTGCCTAAGCTTGACTGTCCTGAAACTTGTTCTGTAGACCAGACTGGCTTTGAACTTAGAACTCCGCTTGCCTCTGTCTCCAGAGTGCTAGAAATAAAGACATGTATCACCATTCCTGGGCCTAAGATATTCTTTAATTCTTCTTCACAAAATGTAAGTATAGCTGGGTGGGGTCTTCCCCGGAGGTCACCACTCCCTTTATTTCATTTCTTAATCTGTTTATCTTCTTGAATACAAAGTTTAGCTCCATTCCACTTCCTGGTGCCCCTTTCCTCCTCAAATTGTACATTTTGTATTTTTCTTGCTCAGTTTCTCCTTTTCATTATAAATCTTCATAAGAGTCAACCTTAGCAACCTTACAACAGAGTCTATACTAGATTGTTTTGAGATTTCCTCTGCCTATGAAATTAATCCAAAACTCTTCACGTTAGCCTGAGGCAGACTTTTCTGACAAGGACAAAAAGCAGTCATATTCGTCACCAAAAATATCACAAGAACCATCTTTAGGCAGCATACTGAAATTCTTCTCTTTGAAACCTCTTGAGTGAGACCCCACAGTTCAGATCACCCTGGGCACCTCTGTCTTCCATGCCCCTACTGGTATGGCCCATTAATCAGCGCTTAAAGCATTCCACTGCTTGCTAACTCAAAAACATGGTCGGGCCTATCACAGCAATACTGCAGTCCCTGGTAACCAACTTCGGTCTTAGTGTTTTTGTTACTGTGGAGAGACGCCATGACTATGGCAATTTTTATTAAAGGAAAACACTTAATTGGGGCTGGCTAACAGTTTCAGAGGTTTATTCCATTATTGCCATGGTAAGAAGCAAGGCAGCATGCAGGCAGACAAGGTGCTGGAGAAGGAGCTGAGACATAGACATCTTGATCCACAGGCAACAGGAAGTAAACTGTCACTCTAAGCATAGCTTGAGCATATATGAGACCTCAAAGCCTGCCTCCACATTGGCACACTTCCTCCAACAAGGCCACACCGTCTCCAACAAAGCCACACCTCCTAATAGGGCCATTTTCTTTCAAACCACCCCTTATGCCTAGAATTTATTCATGCTGGAGAATTTGGGGGGTGTTTTTTTTCCCCCAGGTGTTCAATTTCTTTTCTTTTTTTTTTTTTTTTAAATAAAACAGTGACTCTGAAAAGCTGAAGCGACTTCCTGCCTTAGGTTGCAGTTTCACAGCTCTGCCCACAGCTGACTAAATTGTACCAATATGTTAATATAAGAACATCTTGCTCCTTTGGGATCTGTATCATCAGATTATGTTGTGAATGAGTAACTGCATATTTTCATTTCAGAGTTCCTCTTCCCCAGCTAAGGAACATGATAGAAGATGTCGCCCAAACCCTGAAGTTCATGTATGGTTCTTTAGACAGGTAAGATTTCTCTGGACTCTGTCTCAAGTATCAGGTCATGGTTCTGTGTCTTCCTCTGCACTTGGCAGTGACTCTCGCTTGTGAAGCAAATTGTTTGGTTCATTCTTGTAACAGTTCCCTCGTGTTTTCTTTCTTTATTCTTTCTTAATTTTTATTAAATTCAATTATAAATTAATTTTTTTGAGACAGAATCTCACTGTGTAGCTCAGACTGACCCAGGCCTTACTACGTAGCCTGGGATGACTAGGACTCCTGATCCTGTTACCACAGCCCCCCAGGTGCTGAGAGACTATGGATGTGAACCATCACACCTGGGCTTAGTGAAACTGTGATGCAATTGCTTTTCCCCTAGTTTATTCCAATAGGTTCCATGTGGAAATTCATGAGATTACTAATTAGTCCCGGATACCGTGATTACTATAAGTTCTGTATTACGATATATTATTATATATTACAGTATACACTTGTTCATTTCTTTAGAGGCAAATATAGCATATTTCTGTGTAGAATGCAAAGATTAAGATTTGAAGTAAATGTTTGTGTTTTCTTTGCTATTTCACTAACCTAAAATGTTTTTTTAGTCAAAAAATTTAATTAAAGATGTGCATTTATCTGGGAAAGGTAGCTTACATCTGTAGTGTGACATTTGAGAATCTGAGGCAGGAGGATTGCTGTAAGTTCAAGGCAAGCCTAGGCTACATATGGAGTTTACAGGCCACTCTAAGTTATAGACCTTGTCTCAAAAAACAAAATGAGCAAACAGAGCACAGTTAGTAGAAATGAGATGCGCTGTGTGAGACATTAAGGTGCGATATGCGTTCCTTCGTGTATTCTCCATGACACATGAATATGAATATGCTTATCCATTTCGGGCATTCTTTGTGCTTCTCTTTTTCCATTTTTCATCCTTTGGCAGTTTGGTACATTTGCACAGTGGAGTTTAGTTGTGCTCATTACCTCTGTCACCCCCTCTTCTCCTGAAACCTTCCCTCCTCCCGACAACCCCGCCCCCCACCACACACACACTCTCCCGTGTCCTGTGACCCACTGGGTTATTAGGTTTGCTGCATGAGCATTACCAGGGATTATTTACTGGAGCATGGGCAACTTTTCAGTGGCTACCCCACTGAAGAAACCATTAAGTGCCAGTAGTCCCTTATGGGCCACTCCCCACCTCTGACGAAATGTCTATGAACCCAGTCTTGTAGAGGTCGGTGCAGACAGCCATAAGTTCACAGGTGCAATGGTCCTGTTGCACCCAGCAGGTGTCTTTTTGTGCACGTGTCCCGCCATGCTCTGACTCTTCCCTTCTTCCCTTTGATTCTAAGGCCTGGGGGTGACATAGATGTCCCATCGAGGGCCAGGCACTCAACCATCGCTTATTCTTGGCCCTTTGGCCAGTTGTTCTTAACCTTATAATGTGATACATATTTATTGACTTGAAGGAGGAAAATAGAGGTAACCGTTAATCATTTAAATGCACAGAATCATGAATGGGAAGTGTTTTTCTCCTGCAGGTTCCAGTTCTTCTGGGGCCTCAAGTGTGGTATCTCTGCTCTGCACATCAGAGTACCCCAGAATAGAAACTGAAAGACAGTTTTTATGCATTCTTCCAAACACGGTGGTATCCTTCTGCTGATCTGTGGTGACACTTCATTGTCACGGTGCTCAGGGCATCGAGGATGGACTCCTGTCATGTCAATCATTGTGTTGGTTACATTCTCCACTGCAGGAACCTGTGAGGACGCACAGCCCTCCCAACACGATTGTTTGAATGAGGTGCAAAAGGCTAGTTGTCCAGACACAGCGCTTTTGCCATTTACTAATTTGGTTGTAACCAATGAGGAATGAGACTGTGCTATTAATCACCTTTTGAAAGTTATAGTAGACTTCAAACTTTGCTGTATTGTGCTTAATGTTTTTTCTCAGAGTCTTTAATCTTAGTCATTTACTCTAAAACAGCAATTGGGCTGAGTGCAAAATTGCACACCTATAGCCCCAGCTCTTTGTGTTACTGAAGGAGCACGTGACCTCACAAGCTTAGGCCAGTCTGGGCAATGCCATATAATCTGCTCTTTAAAATAAAACCATGACCAGTTCTAGCACCCATGCCCACTCCCGTCATCCCCTTGCCTCATTCCCTCAGAATGGGTGCTCCACTGGAGTTCATTGTCTTTTGTGTTGATTTTATTGCTGCGCTCCCAGCAAAGAGACTAAGGACTGGAATGAAGGACACACTGCGCGATACTTGTAGGATGAATCAGTGCCTGTCGCTTTGGTAGGATGCGAGCCAGCCCTTGTGTCACCTTCTGAGCTGTTCCAAGGAATAGTCACGATTAATGCTGGCTTGCTTTCGCATGTCTAAAATCAGCTGTTTAACCGCTCCAGTCCCCTCCCTCTCTCTACCCCTCCCTCCTTCCAATGCTCATGTCCTCGGTTGAGAAGAAAAGTAACTTAGCTCCTTCTCTTCTGTGTCCTGGGTACTTGTAACCCATAGGAAGTTGTGTGTTCTGAGTACTAGGTAATTTGTAGGTGGGTTGGATCATATTAACCCCAGTTTTGACTCGAAAACCGAAACTCAGAGAGAGGCCCCTTGATTGGCATTGTGACAGTAAGATTCAAAGCCAACTCTATTGTTCTGCAGAGTCAGAATCTCTCTATTATCCCACATCACTTGAAAGACCTACGAGCTGTAAATGATTGGAAGATAGAGAGGGAAGAAATGTGTGCTTCAGCCCTTTTTATTGTGCATATGTCTCCCCCTCCCCAGGTTGGCTGCAGTTCTTCCCTGGTGTCTGTTGTTAAATATAGAAAGTGTATTTCTTAATACTCTCCCCCAGTCTCGCCACAATGGCTGTAACTAAGGGACTGGGGAGGAAGAGAGCTTCCATGCAGGAATGGAGCCCGTCCCTTGAGCTACTGCAGGAGGCGATGGACCTCTCCATGGTTGCTCTCATTTCCAGCTCCTTGTTGTGGAATGTTAATTTAAGATGTGTTACATTTGTTTATGCTGTGGATCATTTCTTTAATGATGCAAAGATGTGTTGTGGTGTGTGTGTGTGTGTGTGGTTTTTGAGACAGGGTTTTTCTGTATCTTTGGAGCCTGTCCTGGAACTAGCTCTTGTAGACCAGGCTGATCTTGAACTCACAGAGCTCTGCCTGCCTCTGCCTCCCAAGTGCTGGGATAAATGGCATGCACCACCACTGCCCAACTGTGTTGCATTCTTTTATGTTGCATTTGTTTAACTCTGTGAAGCTGTGTTGCTGTGCCTGTCTAAAACCCCTGATTGGTCTCATATAGAGCTGAATGGCCAATAGCAAGGCAGGAGAAAGGATAGGTGGGATTGGCAGGCAAGAAGAATAAATAGCAGGGGAAATCTGGGAGACGATCAAGAAGTGACAGAGATCAAGGAGCGAGAAAAGAAGGGTCAGTCATTCAGTCACACAACCACACTGCCAGCCACCGAGTAAGAGTGAAAGTAGGATGGTCAGAAATAAAGAAAGGTTAAAGCCCAGAGGCAAAAGGTCAATGGGATAATAGAAGTTAAGAAAGGCTGGCTAGAAGTAAGCCAAGCTAAGTAAGGGTGGGCATTTATAAGTAAGAATTAATTCTCCTTGTGTGATTATTTGGGAGCTGGGTGGCAGGCCCCAAAAGAGGCAAAGAGTCAAAAGAGTAAAAGAACCTACAACAGCTCCTGTTTCTTCAGCGCCTTTTGCCAGGTTGAGAACTCTCCTCGCTTGGATCATTTCTTCAGCTTGTTCTTTCAACGAGCTCTCCAGCCTGACAGGTTGCATCTCAGCGCCAGCCCCAGTGCACAACAGTACGATGCCGCCAGTGCCGTGCTTTTGGACAGCCTCCCTGGAGTGCGTTGGCTCACACTTCCACAGGAGCTCAAGGTAATCTTAGGGGTCCTAGATAAGAATCGGAACCATCTGCCTCCTTCTATTCCTTGAGTGGGCTCATTTTCTTTTTCAAATAATTTTTAAAAACTTACTAATTGAGGAAGACCTGCCGCCGTGGTCTGTAGAGGTCAGAGAACGGGTTGGTATGCTTGGGTCCCTCTCTCCACCTCTGTTTATGTTCCAGGATTGAGTTGCCGGCCCTCTTCTCCCTATCTCTTTGTGTGTGTGTGTGCTTCAGTGTCTGCGTTTCTTACATAGTGTCTTGGTCATTTTCTTTTAAATTTCCTGACTGTTAATTCCAGAGCCTTCACCTTGTCTAGTTTTAGCCATATTTTAACTGATACTTTCTGTCCTAAATATGTAGGATCGCTGATTGGTGCCTTGTGATTTGTTTTCTTGGTATTTGGACATCTCCATGGGGAAGGACCACTAGCTAGAGGCCCTGTTAAGGAGGCGGGGAAATGTCAGGAGGGAAAGTGGTCTTGGCTCATAGTTAGGGCTCAGCCCTTAGTGAGCCTGGAGGTTGGTGGACTGCGGGCCTTAGCATTGTTTGTCAGGTTTCTTCTCTGCTCTTTGCTTAAACAGGCTGGCTAGCTAGCATGAGCCAGGGTTGGGCATCTCCCTCCTATGTAGGAACATAGGAGGTTTTGTGGTCCTCTTCTAAAGTGAGGAAGGCTGTTGCTGACTGTGTTTACCCCCAGGTCTGCCACATCCTATGGGGTTGTGCTGTAGTTAACTAGTTTCTCCACGGGGGCAGGTTTATTAAGGAAAACCCGTTCCCTCTCAGTGTCAGAGACAGGAGGGCATTTTCTGTGGCAACCTGGTTAGCTTACTGGTGGGAAAACTCACAAAAGCTTGGGGGACCAAGCAGCTTGGGTTTCTATGGAGTTTTCAGCTGTGGAAATTACCCACACAGAGCCTCTGGCAGCTTTCCAGGTAGCTCAGGTTCTCCTGTGTTGGGGGTTTCAGCTCCTGAGTCTTTTATGCAGCTATTATGAGTACCTGGCTATGTCTGTCTGTCTGTCTGTGTCTCCGAGCTTGAGGCCAGCAGTTTGCTGTGTTCTCGCCCCTCTTTCAGAAACAGAAGAGTTGACCTTTTGTGCTGTTCCGCTTTTGACTTGTTCAGACTGAATACCTGCTTCAGGTTTTCTACGTGTGTGACCAGAAACCAGGATCCCCAAAGCTTTTATTTTAGCAAAAAGCTCAACTGTTTTCTTCTTTTCTTTGAGATTTTTCGCTGTCTTAGAATAGTAACTTTTATTGACAACGTATCTTCTAATGACAATAGTAAGGAATTTAATCCCATGAAGACTTGGATTTAAAAGTAGTTGTGAGGCAACTTGCAGTTGGCAAGCGTTCAGTGGGAGTATTTGGTTTTAATTTGGAAGTAATTTGTTCCAAGTTTAGTACATAATGAGGTCTCCCTTTGGTTTTCTTTCCCAGGTGGTTGAGAGTTTTTCACTGTGCTTTTCTCGGGCACACTGGTATTGTTAGAGGAACAACAGTTAGTCATATTAGTCTAACATCAGCCTGGAGACCAAGTAAAGCAAAATTCACAGACTAGCCCAAGATAAAAAAACTACAGGTGTTTGTTCTCTTTGTCTGACAGGTTTTTTTTTTTTTTTACAAGGTAAAGGGTTCTCACCAAACAAGAGAATACAAAGCATTTGCTAGGTGCAGGGAAATGTGGGTCATGAGTGAGTGATAAGTCACACTGTGTGAAAAGCATTGAGAGGCATGACTAATGTCTCGGAGCATTTGTTGTCTTGATACAACACAGTGTGGGACTCAGCCCTGCAGAGAGTGCCTGAGCCTTTAAGGAAAACAAGAGAAAAAAGCAAGCGAATCCCTATTTACACATAGTGTGTATGCTACATATTTAAGTAACTATTTTTTGTATGTTTACACATTTTTGCGTTGCAGGATAATTTTACTCTGTTTTTAAATATAGATGCTTCAAGGAAAAGCTCCAGCAATTTCCATGGAAATGAAGCCAAATCCTATGTAAAAGATTTTTGTATAATAACTCTGTGGGGAAGTTAAGCTGTGCCAGATCCCAGGGACTCCTGCTGTAATGTTTTAATCTGAGTAACGATTGGCAACGCTTTATTCAAGTCATCGTTTCTAGGAGAGGGACAAGGAAGAATCCAGCTGACCAAAAATACACAGGAAGCAGGAAAAGCAACCCGAACCAGTTAACCACATTAACAGTGGTTTTCATTTTGCTTAGTCTAACAAGTTAAAAAAATTAACATAAAACAAGAAAACAGTTTTTTAATCTCATAAATTGTTTTGTGTTGATCAGAAATTTTTTTATGATTTTTCCAGCCACTTTTAATTAAAAAAAGATACATGCGTTAAATAAGTTCATGTTTTATATTTGCAAAGCTTAAAAATAACATGTTCCGTTTGGAGATATTTCTTGTGTAGTGAGACAGAGAAAGATACTTGCTCAGTCCCTCAGCTCTGAGTGCTCTCCTTGTGTTCCCACAGGTGGAACTGGACACGGTGTTGAGTGACCTTGAGGCTGCTGACTTCGAAGAACTGGTAAGAAGGGGAGGATTTCCACAGAGGTACAAAGTTGAACTCTCTGTAATCAGTCATTCCGAGCATCTGTCAAGCGGACTTAGAGCATTCGGCCTCTGTTTTGACACTGGCCATGTCTACTTGCCCCAAGGTTTTCTATTCAGCTGAAATATCAGCTACACAATGTGTGTAATGAGGTTAGACAGTGATTAACTTGACAAACACTAGGACTTTGTGAGGACAGAGATGGAGATGGTTTGATGATTTGAGAACTGTAAGACTGAACCTAACTTGGAACGCTCAGAGTGTGACTTTAAACTCTTTAAAATTTCCATTTCCTCGGTCTCCCCAATGAAAAGACCAACAGATAAGTTGTCAGTAAACAATTAATATCGTTAACACTCAAGCTACTGTGTATAAGCAACTCCTTGCCAAAAGGAGCTAAGTTCCTCAGAGACATGGAATGTTCTAGAACTTTCAGAATGGATGCAGATTGTGTGTGCTGGGACTGAAAGTCGGCTGACTCAGCACATGGGAAGGCATCCAGGGCGCTGAAGTTTGTAAGTTCATAATGCTTGGAAAAAAGGGAACCAAGTCATTTCTTTGAAAACTGGGGACACAGGGAAGAACCAGACATTCATGCTTCCTTTCTTGTCTGAACCATACGTTAAGGTGACCACACAGAGATCAAGAGGACAGCAGGCAGTACATTGTCAGCAGTTGCCTTGGCCTCTATATCTTTGGCTGTGATAAAGTACTCTGTTTTTTTTTTTAATTTATTTATTTATTTATTAAATATTTCTGTCTCTTCCCCACCCCCGCCTCCCCTTTCCCTCCCCCTCCCCCACTCAAGTCCCCCTCCCTCGTCAGCCCAAAGAGCAATCAGGGCTCTCCGTCCCGTGGATAAAGTACTCTGTTGAAGCCCATCCATTTATATGGTCCCATCCATTTATATGGAGTGGAAGATGGGTGTTCCTGTATCAGTTAAGATACATGTCTCGGGGTTCATGTCCCATGTGATGCTGCATTCGCAGGTTGACAAGGAGCACTATTTACACTATGGAAGGACACAGCCACCCATGAAATACCTGAAGGAGGCATTACGTCATCTACCACCTGTTAAGGGCATGTCACATGACTCTATTTGTAGAAGGGAAATTACAATCAGTTAAATCCAGACTGGAAACATGGGAAATCTTCTTCAACAAATAAATAAATCACAGAAAGATGGAGAGAGGCAGAGACAAGAGGATAAAGACCTTGAAAGAGGCTTTGAAGAGACAACCGTGTAAACCAAGTCCACTGTATAGTCTTCCTTGGCTTCTCATTCAAACAAGTTTTTTCAAAATATCAGTGAAGTGGGGCATGATGGTGCACACCTTTAATCCCAGCAACAAAGAAACAGAGGCAGTTGAACCTCAAATTAAGGCCAACCTGGGATACATAGTGAGGTCCTGTCTCTAAGTAAATATATATATTTACATATATATACATATATATATATAAGTAGACATTTGTGAGACAATTAAGGAAATATCGTACTTATGGCTTTATATTAGATAAGATAAATCTTTCAACACTGGCATGATGGCTATATATTTTTTCTTCTGTTACTTTTTTAAAAGTATTTTATTTGAAGTGTATGTTTGTACCTGACTGTATGTATGTATGTGTACTGTGCACATGCTTGATCCCATAGAGGCCAGAAGAGGGACTAGGATCCCCTGGAACTGGAGTGGCAGGTGGTTGTGCTCCACCACTGGGTGTTAAGAACTGAACTCTACAAGAGCAGTAAACTCTCCTCAGCTCTGAGCCATCTCTCCAGCCCCTTAGAGTGCACTCTGAAGTTGTTTACAGAAGAAGTGGATCTGGGTTGGTCAGAATAATGTAGTGAGAGAGGGAAAGGCAAGACATGAGGAAAGAAGCTGACCCTCACAGTCGCCTTGTCCAGTCTGGGCAGGAGTAGACCTGAAGGAGCCCATACTGCTGTTTCCTGTCTCCCACCTTCTGCCTCTGCTTCTAATCTCTGGTGTTGTGGGCATGCACCACCATGCCCCGCTTCGTTCAGTCCCCTTATGTCTATGGATGGAGCACAGTTTCAGACACTTAGTTATTTCTGGTTTTTCATTTCCTCTGCGTTGAGGATAAAATCAACGGGGAAGACAAATGTTTCTCTTCATGCTTTCCCACTGGCGTCCCAGCAGGGACTGCTCTCAGAGCTTGGAATGGATCTTTCTAGACTGTTCTGTACCCTTCCATTTCTGCACAGAAGCCTACGTGTACGGATATACACATCGCATATAGCTGTGGGAAAGCAAAACAGATCAGGAAAACACAGATGGAGTGGTGTTTTGTTCTGGAACTTGCACTTTCTGCTGAGCAGAGCATCCAGTAGCTTTGATGGCCGCACCGTTCCAATAACTGTACTGTTCTCCGACACAACACCAGGCTTAGCTGATCATCCCTCCATTCCTGAGTGTGGCCTCATCTCTAATCTCTGTATTCCAAATGAACTATTGACTTTCACAAAAATGTCTCGATTCACTCAGCTGTCGTCTAGATCCCTGGAGGAGGGAATACTCAAATAGTGTGTGTGTGTGTGTGTGTGTGTGTGTGTGTGTGTGTGTGTGTGTTCTGGTTAATTTTTAAATATCATACACCTGCCCACAAATAAATTGTGCCAATTTGTGCTTTCAAAAGTGACTCCTGGTGATATTGGGTACTGTGGATGATAAGGGGAGCTCCTGTCATAGCGGTTGTTTTCAGAGCCCTCATGGAAGAACCAGTGTCGTGTGCTGTGATGTTGTGGGGTCGTGGAAACACACTGGGCTTTCACCCTGGTCCCTTAGCATTTGGATGTCTAAGGTTCCATCACAAGTCATTGCTAGGACAGTGGTGGCTCATGCCTTTAATCCCAGCACCCAGGAGGCAGACACAGGTGAATTTCTGTGAGTTCAAGGCCAACCTGGTCTACAAAGTGAGTTCTAAGACAGCCAGATCTGTTACTCAGAGAAATCCTGACTTGAAACACCAAAAAGGAAAAAAAAAAGTTATTTCTAACAAATGTAAATTTCCACTTCAATTGTTGCAGTTTAGCTTTAATATTTTATCTTTTACATAAAAATAAATAAATAAGTGCCATATTACAAATACATTATAAATCAGCTGTGAATTTCCCCCCAGTCCGAGGATTACTGTGACATGAGACGGCTGTACACAATTTTGGGATCTTCTCTGTTTTACAAGGTAAGTTGAAGCTCGAAATATTTATCAGTATTCAACTGCTAACATATGTAGACCTAAAGTAAATTTTCTCTGACTTTTATGCACACAGAAGAAATGTCACCACTTTGCATCTGTGTGTAGGCACAAGACTATGGACTGGAAATAAGGCCACAGAGATTTATAAATGCAGTAAATATTGATGTTTTACTGTATGTTAAGGCATACAGTACTTAAAAGAATTAAGTATATAAAGGAGAACATCAATATGTTCTTTTAGAATTTTAAAAAATGTCATGTATCTAGTATGTGTGCATGCATGAGCCACAGAGCGTATGTAGAGGTCTAAGGACAACTTGAAGGAGTTGTTCTCTCCTACCGTGTGGGGCTCCCAGGGTTGAACTCAGGTCATCAGGCTTGGTGGCCCGTGCCTTTACCCACTGAGCTCTCTCCAGCAACGCATTCTTAATTTCCTTTTTCAGTAGTGTTCCTGCTCTTTTTAGCCTCTTCTTCAGAAGTGACATATATTATATTTTAAGTAACTGCTTCCATGTAAAGTTTTAAGAATCAGATCAGTGCCAGGTGGTGGTGGCACACGCCTTTAATCCCAGCACTCGGGAGGCAGAGGCAGGCGGATCTCTGAGTTCAAGGGCAGAATGATCTACAGAGCAAGTTCCAGGACTGGCTCCTTAGCTGCTTAGCTATAGGGAAATCCTGTCTCAAATAAAAAAGAAAGACAGAGAGAGAGGGGGAGGGAAGGAGGAAGGAAGAAAGGAAGAAAGAAAAGTCAGTTTAAGTATTTTGCTTTAAAATATCTTTAAAAACAATAACATAGCACAAAATCAGCTGATATAGGAGGTATACAGAAAAGAACCACTTGTGCCAACCTTGGCCCCGCTTCCTTTTCTAGTCCCAGTTTTACCAAGCACTCAAGGTGACCTTGCTTTGTATAGGTCACCTGTCTGTTGGGTCCCTGAAGCTGTCAAACTTGATATGCAGTTTGACTGGATTTTGCCAGATCTTAATTTACCAGCATTAGAGCTCCATTATCTTAAGCCCACAGTTCCAGTGTTTATAAAACTCATAGAAGTGCGGGCTCATCGATTCACGTTACCCACCGCTTTGGCTCTGCGTGATTAAATCCCAGGGTTATTTGGTGTGCAGCCATCTACCCAAGGATGATGTCGTTGAGATTTCTGCGTACTGTCGCCAATATTGCCTGCTGCCTTTAGCGGCAAAGCAAAGAATTGGCCAGCTGATAGTGTGGAGAGAAGTCTTCCCGCGGCACCACCTCCAGCCTCCTTCAGACTCAGACACCGAGGTCTTCCAGGAGCCTGAAGGGAGATATTTTTTACTAATTGTTGGACTGGTGAGTTATGAACTTCTTTCTTGAATTTCATTTTATACTTTTAAAATCTGCTTGCTTAAATACACAAACAAACATGCTGATTTACAAGTAAGAATATGTTAATTACTTATTACTTGAATTAATTATTCGAGGAAATGTTGCATGCCACTCTATTTCCTTCCTTCTGTATCTATTTAATACTCATGAAGAAATATTAGTAAAAATCCAGTGTGCGATTTTAGCAGGGTCTGAAGATGTCTTGTTCCCCTTCCTATCATGGATTTTCCTTTTGGCTTGTTTTGGAATACATGAAGCAATATAGATTTGAGCCTTGTATGGTGATGGTCCCTAAAATCCCAGCACTTGGAAGGCCATGAGGCAAGAGGATTTCTATGTTTGAGTTTAGCAGCCTGGGCTATACATAAACCCTGTCTGAAATGATGCTGGTGATAATTGAGGCTATTTGGAAGTTATTTTAGGAAATTCCGTGGACAAAGAGAACTGACTGATGGTGAATTGATGCTTTGTCAAAATAAAACAATATGAGATTGTTTCCATTCTGGGTCAAGAAGCTTTGATGGTGATTAAAAAAAAAAAAAAAGAGGAGAGAAAGGTTTTCAGTACTCACTGAGTATTCGCAAATGCCTGTATGCCTTTAGTACAAGTCTGCACATATGGGCTATATTAAGTGTTTCCATGGCATCTGAACCTGTCCCCATCTTCCTTTGCAGCGCCATTATGTGTTGTGTGTGCTGTTAGAAGCTGGAGGCTGTTCATCTAAAGCCATTGGGAATCCTGGTCCAGACTGTATCTATGTAGATCAGGTCAGAACAACTCTTCATCAACTGGAAGGAGTAGACTCCCGCATTGAGGAATGGCTAGCCTCATCTTCGGGGCCCTGCTTGTCTTGTGCTGACTGGTTCCTTACTGCACCACGTGAAAAGGCTGATAGTTTCACCACTTCACCTATCCTCAGTAGACTACAGGGGTCCGCCAAAACAGCGACCTCTCCAACATGCAGGAGAACCTTTTTCAGTGACTATTCCTTCAAGGCACGGAAGCCCAGTCCCTCCCGGAGCAGTGGCGGATGTGAGCCTGGTGAAGGTGGAGAAGGTGTTGGTCTGAGCCCACACACTACCCCAGATGCAGTACGGAAGCAAAGAGAAGCCGATGGTTCGGAGGACAGCGTGGCACTGCTTAAGGTGCGTATCCATCCAGGTGTCTGCATTGTGATCCATAACTGTTAGAATTTTTTTTTTAATTTATAGAGTGCTCCTTATTTGCAATGGTGGGTGTTTTAGTCACTGCTGGAAAACCAAAGACTTAGAACTAAAAAGAGAAAGAAATACCAGGTGCCACCACTTGAGCCCTTGGCGTCTGGGACATTCAGGCCACAGTGCTTCCAGGTAGAGAAGCATCCGCCCCTGGTCCACATCCATCAGCCTTTCTTCTGTGTTCATAACAGAACATCCTAGCTGTGGGGCAGTTTCTCTGTCACTCTAAGTAGTCAGTAAAATATTTCACAGAGACAAATGATCAGAGTGAGGAAGAGATGCCTGTTTGTAATAGCTAAGGTTTTTTATCTACACTTCCGAATGTCACAATCATTAGAAGTGTGACCATGAAGCACAGAGGCTGTTCATACTTGACGGTATGACTTTTACCTACTTTTCCATACATACCATAAAATACCCAAACAGTTGTTAGAGTCATCGTCACCCCAGGAGCTTAGCACATACTCTGGTGATGCTGGGGGTTCCCCAGACAGTTCTCAAACTTCCTGTCAAGTGGACGGAGGTGATGGCAGACAAGGCAGAAGGAAGCATGAATCTGAAAATGGGCTCCGTGTTCCTGAGTGCTGTGGCAAGCACACGCATGGATAGTCTCTCTCCTCTACACAAACAATGGGGTGTGGTGGAGCCATGAATAGAAGGTATTAGGAAGTGCCCGTGTCCTAGCTATAACTATTGTCTCTGTTGGTAAAATGAGTAGGTGACAGAGACCATGAGGATTTGGGTAAATTATATATACCCCAGGTCTAATCAGCTGCCAGGAGGACGATACATCTGTGACCTTGAGGCACCCAGACAGCAGGGAGACAAATACACTGCATACACATTTGATAATGGAACTGCTGGGGACTTTTCACCATGCCCCTGCCTTGACCTTGAACTCTCCTTAGCAAAGAATAAGCCAGGAGATGCAGATTGGCATAAAAAGTCTTTAACGGAAGCAAATGCCTCACGAAAATAGCACTCTTAGAAGGTTTTGAAATTTTTGAATGGTTCTGCTCCTTGATCCTGTTCTTAAATGCAAACTGATCTACTTCTCTTCCAGCTCGCTAGGAAGAAGTCGACACTTCCAAATCCATTTCATTTAGGAAATTCAAAAAAAGAACTTTCAGAAAAAGACATGGAAGTCTATAACATGATGAAGTAAGAAACTTCTAGCATAGCTTTTCACTTTAAACTCGTGGTCCTTGAGGGGTTTCACCGTGAGAAAGTGCAGAGATGATTCAACAAGCGTAACTATGGTATAGCTCACAGTATGAGGTAATACCTATGGTATTTCTGTGATGTTTCATTTACACATTTGGGGAAATGAACATATTCTTATCCTAATGAAAACGCCAAAAGAGTATTTCAAAACATAGAAGTTACTTTTTACCTCTCTCCCACAGGTAATGTACTTTTCAGATGTCTACTTGTTTGTTTGTTTGTTGTTTTTTGAGACAGGGTTTCTCTGTAGCTTTGGAACCTGTCCTGGAACTTGCTCTGTACACCAGGTTGGTCTCGAACTCATAAAGATCCACCTGTCTCTGACTCCTGAGTGCTGGAATTAACGGCATGAACCACCACCACCCAGCAAGGATGTCTACTTTAAATAAGAGTTTAAAGACTAATTTTAGACTCTAGTAGATGCCTGGTTATGCTAGCCCTGTGCCTGTAAATGATAGCTGCCCCTGGCATACAGTTCAAAATGCTCACTTGTAGAGAAGGAAGGGCTGGAAATTGCCTCAATTCAAGACAACAGTGAAAGCCATCCATGCTTCCTGGTTCCAGGCGGTAGATGGTACCTCTGCCGGAACTGCACACAGTTCAGCTTCTCTGTCTCTACATCCTGCTTCTGTCACTCAACCCTCTGCTGCAGTTCCATAGAGCACACCCCACTAACTTCTCCCCGTGTGTCTCCCTCTCAGACTCTGGGTCCTAGAAACTGGTCCTGAACAAATAGATAACACTCAAACTCATATTGAATAAGGAATTCTGAAGTAAAAAGACCTGACTAAAGAAGGAATGTATAACCTTGTGAAGTGTTATATACAGTCCAGGACTATGATAACACCACTAAGCTGGAAAACAACACTTAAAGGTCGGCTTTTGCACTACAAACTGCTCAGAACAGTTTCGAGGTGGTTAGCTGAGATGATCCAGCCTAACACAATACTCTAGTCAGGACTTGAGACAAGGCCTACACTTTCTCATTACACAGAGACTTGAAAACAAATGATACAGTTACTTCTCCCAGGACTTGACAATTAACCCAAATTTTCTTTTCAGGATTCCCTAAAGATACCATTGCCCCAGACAGCAGGAAGTAAGTTTAAGAATACAACGCCCACATTCCCAAGAGGTGGGGTGGGTGGTTTCTGGTCATTTAATAAGTTATGAATATTTGCCACTGTTTAAGGGGATTCGTTACCAGTTGTTACTGGTTATAACCTGGAAAAAAAGTTGAACAAAGAAGATTAGATTCAGAATTCTTGTTTTGTATACATAATTCTGTTGCTACAAAACACAACTTGTACTCTAAAGGAAATAAATGATCATTTATATTGAGCCAAAAAAAAAGAAAATGGGGGATATAGATATGATAGAATAAAAGGGTAGATTATTGAATTTTCTCTGAAAAGTAAAAAGGGAGGATAGAGATATCACAAGATAAAAAGGTAGATTATTGAATCTATTTTTAAAAAGCAATTACTAGTTTTAAATGTTTTACATTAGATTGAATTTTGTATATTTATACAAATTTTGTGTATTGATACAAATTTGATTTGTTAGAACATACTGTATATACATTTCTACTCTTCTTCAAGGTACTTACTGTATCTATACAACTCATTTAACAGTGTAATGCAAATTTCTAGTTCTTCAAAGTTATTGTTACCAGCTGTTTAGGATAATAAGGAAATGCAGGTTAGTAGTTAATTACCTATCGTAATCAAAATTGTAGTCAGTCACATTAGGTAGGTCAAACAGATACATTTTAAATAGACAGGTCATCTTTAAACACTTCAGATATCTACAGAATTTAAGATATTTTAATAATATAGGCTCTTTTTTATGACAATGAGACATGTCTGCTCCTGGCAGTGCCAATCTGCTTCAGAGAAGATAATAGGCATCAATAAACTCCACATGGAGTTTATTTTCTTTGTGGCAAAAGTAAGCCACTGAGCAAGAAAATGTTCTTGCCTTGATTGCTGACAGTGTGCTGTCTTAACTGGGCAAGCAGAACACAAAAGAAAGTGACTGCCAAGCATTATCAAAACAAGGAGAGACAGCCACTCATAATATCCTGCTTCACAGAAAAGTATGTCAGGTATGCTAGGCCTATAGGTCAAAGATGGATTCCCCGACATTGCAGAGGAACTATGGGTGACTGTCAAGGCAGCCAACTGTTTCTGTCATTTCTCACATTTTTTTGGAATTCGCTTGCTTGCACATCCTGCTTGCTCAGTTAATATTATTTTCCTCTTGGGTCTCTGAGGGGTCTCATGGGAACTGTCATTATTTCTTGCTTTTTTGTTATTCTTTAATTCTTCTTCCTTTGGAAAAATGTAAACATTATTCATAGGTTCTGCTGACCTGTCTGAGCTTATGTATGGGAGGAAGAGGCAGGAAAGAAAAGAAAAACTGGGGACCTAGAGAGATAGCTCAGTGGTTAAGAGCACTGGCTGTTCTTACAGAGGACCTGGGTTCAATTCCCAGCACCCACATGGCACATAAAGTTAAAGAAATTATTTTTAAAAATAAAGGAAAACTGAAAACAGTAAATGAATATTTTTGGAACATGGTTCAAGAATAGAGTCATGTGAAAATTCTGAGTGCTTATGAGAAAAATGCCAAGAAATGAAAACCGGAATCTTGTGACCTCAGTTTCTTCAAAAGTATGGACTTTTTCTTGAAACGTGCTTTCGTGCCCTTCCCAGGTGTAGCAGCTAGGAGTGAGTTTCCTTCAGGTGATCCGTTACAGCTGGCTATTGAAAACTGTCCATATGCCTCTATGGGAAAACATGGTTTGGTACATGTGGCTTGTCTGCTGTGTGCGGCTTACCCTGTGATTGTACACTTCACTGGCATGACTCCTCTTAACCCTCAGAGTATAAACCGTCTGATGCTCTGAATAAAGTTGGCTGTTGCATGGGACTTTAGACGGCCTCATTTCGGCTCCACTCTCCCAGGTCCCACTGCCTCTAGCGTGATGAGCTGAGTCTAAGTGAGAAGGGTGTGGTAAAGTGGAATGCTATCACCACTGTTGGCCTGGGGATGAGGATGCTAATCTAACTGTGCTGCTAATCCTCAGTGTTGTTGCAAAGAAGTTTAGTGCCGCCGATTTCCATGTGTTTAGTTTGGTAGGAGATATTAATGTATGTGCCCCACTTGAAACTGATACCATTTTTATGGTTTGTTGAAATTTAAGCCAAACATAAGCTCAGTCATTCCTATGAACCATGGAAAAAGAGGGCCCAGCCAATTGACTGTTTAGCGAAGAGACAATTTAAGTCACTGCAAATGAATTAGTGTTTATGCTTCCATGGCTGGTCCTGTTTGTCTCCATTAGGGAATTAAGAATAGCCTAGCCTGTGCTTGAGTCAAGGGCAGGGAATTAGACATTTGGCTCAGCTTTCTGTCCATGATTAGGTTGCTAATTTATTTCACATAGTCTTGTGAGAAAGATACAAAATTGAAAGTGGAAATAATTCTTCTGACTTTACTTAAATTTCCTGCTCTCTCCTTTTCAAGATTGACCTCTGGTCCGGAGAATACACTCTTCCACTATGTCGCCCTAGAAACAGTGCAGGGCATCTTCATCACCCCCACACATGAAGAGGTGGCTCAGCTAGGCGGTTCCGTTCACGCTCAGCTAATTAAGAATTTCCATCAGTGTTGTCTCTCTATTCGTGCAATTTTCCAACAGACATTGAAGGAAGAGGTAAATATTTAAATGTAGCTTTCTGCCAATATTAACCCTCTGGTTTTTTTTTTTTTAATCAACATGAACCATCAGTGTTTTATTTAACTCAGTTACACCGAACTCTGTAGTCTGTAATCTTACCTCTGGAAATGGTTGGCCTGGTTTTTCCACAGCAAAGTACAAAATTGGTAGTTGATAATATCAGCTAGCCACTCATATCTGAGATTTGTAATTTAACTGTTTATTAATTGACGTCTGATGTTTCAATGTTGCACCCGTGTTTTTGTTTTTTGGGGTTTTTTTCTTTTTTTTTTTTCTTTTGGTTTGGTTTTTTGAGACAGGGTTTCTCTGTGTAGCTTTGGAGCCTATCCTGGAACTAGCTCTTGTAGACCAGGCTGGTTTTGAACTCACAGAGATCCTCCTGTCTCCCTCCCGAGTGCTGGGATAAAAGGCATATGCCACCACCGCCCCACACCCCATGCTTAAGTATATATATACTTAATTTATTATTTAATAGATCAATTGGATTCTTGTGGTGACTGGAAAATTGGTATTGTTCTCTCGTTATGGAAAAAAAAATATTCAAAGCTTTATGACCAGGCCTGTAGCTCAGTTGGCACAGTGCTAATCTGACATTCAGGATGCCCGGGGTTCCATCTCCTACTCTGAGTAAACCTATACAGTGGTGCACATCTATAATCCCAACACCACGGAGGATGAAAAATTCAGAAGTCATCTCCAGACTCATAGTAAGTCTGAGGCTAGTCTGAGCTACCTAAGACCCTGTCTGACAAAAAGGAAGAAGGAAAAAACCACAGAGAAACTCTGTCTCGGGGAAAAAAAAAAAAAAAGGAAGAAGGACTGGAAAGGTGGCTTAGCAGTTACGATCACTTACTGCTCATGTGAAGTCCTGGGGTTTGGTTTCCAGCACCACATCAGGCGATTCACAACCACCTGTAACTCCAGCTCCAAGGGACCTGACGCCCTCGGGACTCCATCAGCCTCTGCACACATGATGCAGTAACTACATGGGCACACATATACTCATGAATAACAAATCTTTTCCAACAAAGGAAGAAGGTAGGGGAGAGAGGGAGTTGTAACTGATCTAACATCTGTCCAGGAGTAGCTCTCTGATGACACGTGTGATGTATGCAGCATACCAATTTTGTGAAGAACGTGCCTTTAAAATAACACTGGGCTGGGTGTAAGGAGCCCTGACTTTCCTGTTTCCCCAGCTATAAAGTGTTCCAGCAGGATTATATCACATCTCCGGGCCCATTCCACAGTAGAGTTCTATCTTCCGTGCTTTCAGGGCCTCAGAAACTATTATTAACAGGACGAGTCGTGTTTGACCAGGGAGGCCTCCCTGCTTTCGTTTCTTGGGCTCTTTCTTCCCCATTTTAGCATTCTGGTGGGTGCTCTGGCAATGTGATCAACCCGTTCAGTCACATTTAGTGACAGAAACTGGCCTTAACTGTTAAGGCATCTGCGCTGCACCCGACACTATTCCAGGTCTAGGAAAGAAAACAAGCTTGTGTTTGTTTGCGTTCGCCAAGGAGCTGAACAAAGTGGCCGATAGCACATCCAGAGTGGGTGTCGAGAGGAATTTAATCAGAGTCGGGCTGAGTGGTGCAGGCTACTGAGGTTCCCCTGATCGTGTCAAGCAGTTTGTGAGCAGACAGGAACAAAGACAGAGAGGGCAGTGTGGCTCTTTGGAGAGCCCAGCTTCTAACAGAGGGACGACAGGCCTCTCTGGGCACTCACTGGCATGGGCACATATACAGACACACAAACCTTAAAAGACAAAGGTGATGGCACATGTCTGTAATCCAACGCCTCTGGCATAAGAGACAGTAAGAGTGCCACAAGGTCATCCAGGGCTGTGTAGTGAGACCCTGCTTTAGAGACAGGACAGGGTAGAGGGAAGGGGGAAAATAATATTTGCTCTCTGCTAGGGGGAAAGCTTGTAATCTACCTTAGGAGATAAAGTTTAAAGCAAGAATTGAAGAATAGGAATTTTCTGCAGGTGAGCAGGAAGAGTAAACCATTGTAGACATTTAGAACCAGAGCCAGCCGTCGTCATCAGCATCCCCGGAGACTTAGGTGAAACCATTTTGTCTTTCTGCTCTGGGGGCTGAAGTCAGGGCTCTGTGCGTGCTAAGAAAGAATCCTACCCCTGAGCTACAGTCCCGGCCCCGGGTATTTTCCAGTAGCACTGTCAGTATAGTTAATCCTCAGAACTTCTGTTGGCTTGCAGAGAAGGAGAGCGCTGCGTGGTGGAGATTGTCCAGAGCCTGCAGACTCGGTGTCGTCTCTGACCCCCGTGAAAGAGCATGGTGTGCTCTTTGAATGCTCGCCTGAGAACTGGACCGATGAGAAGAAAAGCCCACCAGTTATGGCTTACTGGGTGGTGGGGTGAGTGTGGGGAGGGTTCAGTAGGACCATAGTCAGACAGCTACCATGTAATTCTAAACCTAGAACTAAGATAAGCACTTTACAAATGATCCAAACCAGTGCCTATCCACTGGTCCATGGATGTGAGAACCACCTAATCAGTTGTGGAGTCCAGAGCGTCCTGCACCTGTGCCCTGACCCAGTGAGTCAGATCTGGGAGTAGGATTCTGGTTTTTAGCTCCCTTGTGACGTGATAGGCAATCCACTAGGTTTGAGAACATCAGCCTGAATGTAATTGTGTAATACCATCAGAGCTGTGTTACAATAATTCATCTGGACACAGCCCACAGGTAATACCAGGTAGGTACACACCCAGTACAAGGATAGAAGGTACACGTTCAGAACAAGGGATAGAAGAATCAGACAGTCGGGTATAGGCAGATTTCTGTGCTGCTTGCCAGCTCCCAAATAAGCACACAGAAACTTCTTATTAATTATGAAAGTTTAGCCAATGGCTTAGACTTGTTATTAACTAGCTCTTACAACATAAATTGACCTATATTTTTATTGATCTATATTCTATTACATGTCTTTTACCTCTCCCATTTTTTGTGTCTGACTCATTCAGCATCTGTCTGACTTCTTCCCGCATCTCCTCCCTTCTTCTTCCCAGCATCCTCTCTGCCTCCAAAATCTTGCCTGTTCAGTTATTTAGTAAACCAATACTAGTGACAAATCTTCAAAGTGTCCAAAAAGATTATACCACAACAGTGGGAAGATAAATCAGTGGGTAAAGCACTTGCCAGGCAAACATGAAGATCCAAGTTCAAATCCCAGAGCCCATGTAAAGCCAGACAATAGAACAATCTGTAACTCCAGTGCTGCTCTGGGGAGGTAGGAGGCAGGCGGGAAAAGCTCAGAAAGCTTGAGATTAGCAGCAGTAGACAATGGAGTTTGTTTCACCTTTTTTGACTAGAGCCAATGCCTACAGCTGTCTGCCTACACATACACACACCATAATGTACATGAATACTCGAGCACACACACAAATGTAGTGTTAGTCCAATTCTATCTACAAATGAGTTGTCATTTTTATGTATTATTAATAATAGCAACTTAAAAATGTATGTGGAAATAAAATATTTCATGACTACCATGCTTAAGATGATACAGGAAGTGTTGCATAGATGGTAATAATAAGCAGGTTTAATATTCAATACTGAGGGGTATGGTGATGTGCATTGATTAAATAGGAGGTTTACACTCTAGGACAGTAGCATTAATTAGGACATATTTATTTAGAAACCAAACTCTCTTCTATTTTCTGTAGATTTAGATTCATGAGCTTTTGGTGTTAGTGGTGGTGGTGGTAGGTATTTTGTCTGTCTTTTGTTTTTTCAGCTATTATTGGTTCTCCCGAAACGGAAAGAAAACAAAAGGAAAAGGTTTTATCACCTTTAATTTTTGAAATGACCATGTTTTTTCCTTTCTGCAGGAGGCTCTTCCTTCACCCAAAACCTCAGGAGCTGTATGTGTGTTTTCACGACTCGGTCACAGAAATTGCCGTTGAGATGGCATTTAAACTGTTCTTTGGATTAACACTGTAGCTGTGTTTGTAGGATACAAAGCAACACACATGGACTGTGCGACAGTGCCAGGACGGCCGAAATCAACACATAAAGATAAGGCTCAGCTTAGTCACTTTTCAGTATTGAACTTCTCTTGTTAAATGTCGAGAGGCAGAGCTGTTTGGTTGGTGTGTCAGACATCCGAGCAGATACTGGGTCAGAGTATGGAGACACGATTGCTAACTTATTGCCATTCTGGTATACCATGCTAATTTATTGAATAGTTTTAAATAATGTGAATTCTTTAATAAAAAAATTAATATAAATGTTTATTTGGGGATCATATTCAACTCATTTTTTAAATTGAAACCCAATGCTGACTTGCACGGTGAAGGGATCATGAAACAGAAGAGATGAAGAGGTTCTGTAGTCGGTGAGCTCTGTGTTGTAAGGAGCCCTGCGCCTGTCAGGCTCAGAGAATCTGTGTACTAATAACATTATTACTGCACTGGGAGTTTTTAAATCCCAGTTAAGAAAAATGCATTGTTTTCATGGTGTGTATTAGTCAGTATCTAAATTTGCAATATTTGTGTTCTGGTTTCTTAGCAAATCAAAAGCCTTCTCATTCATCTCCGTATTTTAGTGGATCCCTTCCTGCAGAGGAAGAGGGGAAGGATGGAAGTTAAAGTTTATTTATATTTATTCAGTTCTCTCTATTCTTGGTGATAAGCTTTATTTTGGATTAGGAGATTTATTTTTAAATTTTTAATAGTCCATAAGTTTTTTTTCTTCTGTTGAAATACATTCTGGTACACATACATTTTATATCACCTCTAGCAGATCATACTAAAAACACTGGAAGAGGGCTGGAGAGATGATTCAGAAGTCATGAGCAGGTACCTCACTGGAAAAGCCCTAAGTTCAGCTCCCATCACCCACATCAGACCGCTCACAACCACCTGTAACTCCAGGGATTCCTTTGGCCTCCACAGATATGCATGTGAGCACACACACACACCGTGCATACACACAGACACACAAGCACACAATTAGAAAATAAAATCCCTTTGAAAACACTGAACCAAACTGCTTAACAGTGTCATAGGGTAACTTCTTTTACAAAATACTAGTTTTTGTCCTAGAGATAAGCATCAGTCTGTATTGGGTTTTCCCAAAGGAAGAGGGGGCACTTTAACCAACAGCTGTTTCCCTGAGCTTCAGGAGTAGAGAAGACTGAGTAGACATTGATTTCATTGGCCATGAGAATTCAGTATATTAAAAAAATGAAAAATATAGTAAATACTACATTTATTATTACCATCTACCCTGGTGGGCATCCCACATACTCAATAGTCCCCACACACTACAGTCCTGGGTAGCTTCTCCTTCAAAGATTACATATGTTGGAAGGAAGCTAACTGAAATCTATCTAAAGTTCATCCCTGCATTTTCCCTCCTTAAACATGAGTGTTCCAGCTGAAACTACGAAGTGTATCAGTGCGCCCTGAGCCATTTGGTCTTATAGAAAAACTTTTATCCCTCTCTTGTCAGTTCAGAGATTCTCACTGAGGCATTGGTGACAGACACCGGCTGTTTATATCATCCAGTGACTTCTGGGCTTTATTTTCAGCTTTCGAGGCAGAGAAGGAAATTTTGGACCTTGAAGTGTAGAAAAGAGTTTGAACTATCTCCCCTTTAACAAGAGTCAAATTGGCTAAGGCTGTCCTCTGTCTCAGACTGCCTGTGTGCCAACGTTTGTGTCCCAGAACTTCTAAACGTATTTATTAAATGCTTTAAGTTTCTGAATAGACCCTTCAATCCCAAGCTGTTTCTAATACTGATCATTATATTCAGTGTAGCCGTGGTCACCTCAGATTTTCAAATAGAACAAACTAAGACTTGGGATTTTAATACAGAGAACTTTTTTCCCAGTTAAATTTTGATCTGCTGGTGCTTTTTTGGTGTCAGATAACCATAAGAACACTATTTTAAAAGGGGTGTAAAAACAGAAAGCAGATAACAGATCTTAAAGATCATTTGCTGTGTGGTTCACGTTGAAGAGGCATTGCATTTTCAAAAAATAAAATGCTGTCCTCTTTTTCATCTCCAGGGGAACGTTGGTGGTAATCTTAGCTGACCATTTCTCTGAATAGTTCAGACTCATATCTGAAATGCAATCAGTCTTACTGTTGGGCATTAAAATCCTGTCTGTCTCTGTTACAGAGAGACAAGTGCAGATCCCATAGCGATGGGCTCTCAGAGAAACCTTCCTAGTTGGGCTTCATTCACATCCTAATAATGATGTTCCAGAAAACATGAGATAAAGTGTCTACCTAGCATTCCTCGAAAGTCAGACACAGCCAGGCATGGTGCCGTATGCCTCTAATCCCAGTGTTCAGGAGGCTGAGGCAGGAGGATATAATAAATCCAAGGATAGGCAGGGCTATACAACAAGGCTCTATCTCAAACAAACAAAACACAAGGACTTCATTCCTTCTGTCATGTGTTTCTTGGCCCCAAATAAATTTTAGACTCTTGCCCTTTCTCTCCCTCTTCTCCTTATCCTTGGCTTTCTTTTGGCTCTGTCATGTCAGAGAACTGTACCTAGGAGAGTACAAAGTGTTTCACTTTTTGTGCCAAGGGACAGTGGATGACAATGTGTGCCTAACAAAATGGTAATTGTGAAATAATCACTGTCTAAATATTTCCGACACAAATTGAAAAGAAAAAAAACCCTGTGAAACCAGTCTACGAGGTTTGGCTGCTTTGACCACTGTGTTAAAGTGTGTTCTCTAAACTGTGTGTTCTCTAAACTGTGGTTGTCACATATAAAGTATGAGGTGTGAGCTGCAGCTACTACTTACCTCCGTTAAGTGCCCTCTGCCTGCGAACAAGGGAAACAGCTGAGTCAAGTCTACTACCGCACAACACGACAGGAATGACCTGGAGAAACTGCTGCTTACTCTTGTGTTGACAATAAGGATGTATATTTTGGGCATCTTTTAAAATAGTGCTACTAAAACTTGAACCTAAAAACCAAACTTTATGAACTAACTTAATTTTAAAGAGTTTTATTTCTGTATGTAATTAAAGCTATTTTTCTACATTATTCAGAGTTTTAAATAAAAGTGTTTTGGAGGTTCATTTGCAGTATAAACTGTCTTTAAAAATGACTGCATTTTGTGTGTGTGTGTGTGTGTGTGTGTGTGTGTGTACAGGCATGTGTCCATGTGCTCACACACAAGCACCATGGCAGAGTTTACTGTCTCTTCCTACTCTGGGGGTGCTAGGGATGGAGCTTCATGCTTGGCAGTGGCTACCCTAACTCACTGAACCATCTTGCTCTCCTTGCGTTACCTTTACTTACACTTACTTACCCAACAAATGCTTCCCGAACTTCTACACACTGCCAAACACTGCAGAGACAGCAGCGAACAAATAGTAAGGCTTTCTGCCCTCACAGAGTTTGTGTTCCCCTGGCAGAGGAGACCACAAATATGATAAAGTATTCGGCTGAATGTGAGGAGAAGCGAGGGGGAAGTAAGAAGCTGTGGGGTGAAGCTGGTAAACGCGGTGGCCTGGGAAGGATTTGCTGAAGTGAGAAGCTGGAACTGTGCTGATTCTCGAAGAGAGAAGAGTAAACAGCACAGAGGCCCCGCCCAAGTAGTTTTATAGCTGTAAACCCTGAGACTCTCTGTCCTTGATCAGGGGAACAAGTCACGAACCAGTCTGTTTCAGGTCTAGACTGAGAACTTGACTAGGTGCTCTCGGTGTCAAAAGGTAACATTTCTAAGGAAGTCCTTTCCTGTTGGTCTTCCGTCACTGGGTGCAGATGAGGATACAGAAAGGAATAGGCAATACTGTTGTCAGCTGTCACACTGAACATGAGCGTGGAGTGTGGGACAGTGGAAACAGCCCTGAAGGCAGCAGACTTGTTTTTATGTCGTCAGAGATACCATGTCCGTTAGGGCCAGAGATAGATCCTGATCTTAAAATACAGGCTTACTTGGAGAGTCGTTGAAGTAAGGCCTCCTCCCTTAAACTTTTGCAAGCATTCTTGTTGACACTTCGTTACCTAAAGGAGACTGAAACATTTCACTACGGGTCATGGCAAATAAAAAGGGGCTGCTCACTTTTGGAATTAGCAGTGGGCTTCCAAAGGGTTTTGAAGTCAGTGTGACTGATAAGAAGATTAGCTGCAAAAAAAAAAAATCTCTGAGTGATGATTAAAGTGGTTGCTTTAGGAAGGTTAATCCAGACGCAGCCTATTAAACATAAAGACTGAAGACACGCAGATGAGCCACTGGAAAGGAAGCAGATGGGAATGCATGGGACCAGGAGAACTTGCCAGCTGATGTCATAGGCAGACATCAAAATGTTAACAAAATTCCTGCTCTGTGATCCTGGCCTGAATGCCTAGATACAAAATTAGAAAGGTAATAGCGTGCTTAAGATACCAGTGAGAAATTAGGTTCCTGTGTTCAAGGCAGCTAAAACTCATCCGGCCCTAGAGCAGTATCTCAAGGTTCTTGGTAGGTTGTCCCAAATAAAAGGTAAGGCAGACTCTGTATTTACTGAAAAGCATCAAATATGCTTTTAAAAACAATTAGGAAGATGTATATGCTGCCATAGTGGGGTCTGGTATATTTGATGAAAAAAAAATCCAGATAGAAGAAAATTAAGCGTCATAGCTTCTGTCCTATGTGCAATATTGCCCAAAAACCAAAGTGATAATGTTTAGTCCAACTGTCTTTTTTCAAGTATTAAATTTTCAAAAGTATAAAACAAAACTATTATATATAATTACATTTGTATATAATATAATATTATTAAAAATAATTAATATATAGTATATATAATTGATAGATATAGATATGCTAGTCCCTGAACGACTAGAGTGGCAAAGAGAAACCTGATTTTTCCATAAAACCTGATTTAATAATATATATAATTGTGTGTGTGTGTGTGTGTGTGTGTGTGTGTGTGTGTGTGTGTGTGTAATTTCAGAAAATGTATTTTTAGACTTCCTACCTGGTAGGTAGCTTCCATAGTGCAGGAAGGTACTATGTAGGCTGCCTGGGGAGAAAAGCCAGCAACATCGTCACCCAACTGTGAACTCCATGAGTTAAATGTCAACCCGTGGCTCAGAAGTTAAGAGCACTGGCTGCTCTTCCAGAGGTCCTTAGTTCAATTCCCAGCAACCACATGGTGGTTCATAATCATCTATAGTGAGATCTTGTGCCCTCTTTTGGCTTGTAGGCATACATGCAGTCAGAACACTGCATACATAATAAATAAAATAATAAAATTAAGAAAACATAAATTGTTAACCTGCTAGACCAACTGTCCTGCCAAGCCCCTATATGCTTCGCTAATTTCTAGGGAACCCAGAATCACACAGCAGCCTGAATGCTTCACTGCCTAAGGGAATGCTTGACTATCTCAGGAACTGAAAGGTGTGCGGTAGCCCAGGAGCCATGGATTCTAACCAGAAAATCCTATGGCGTGCCTCTCAAGGCCAAATCCACAATTTCATGCAAGTAACCAGAGTGAAAACGACTAAGATTGACTAAATATATGAAACTGCCAAGGGACTTTAAAAAAATAAATAAAACTATGCTTTTAGCTATACACAGTGGCTTACTGCTCAGAGGCTAAACTGGTAACTTTGCCATATATTGGAAGCCAGCCAAGGTTAGAGTAAGATACTGGCTCACAACTTAAAATATAATAATTCAAAGGCCGTGGTGGGGCACGGCTTTAATCCCAGCATTTGGGAGGCAGAGGCAGGCAGATCTCTAATCTGAGGCCAGACTGGTCTACAGAGTAAGTTCCAGAACAACCAAGGTTACACAAAGAAACCCTGTCTTGAAAACCGAAATACAATAATAATTCAAAATTTATTGATGTACTCTGCAATAGGTTTCTCATTACTTTAACTGATTGTGTTTTTGTTCGTTTTTGGAGACAGAGTTTCTCTGTGTAGCTTTGGTGCCTCTCCTGGAACTAGCTCTGGTAGACCAGGCTGGCCTCCAACTCATAGAGATCCACCTGCCTCTGCCTCCTGTGTGCTGGAATTAAAGGCGTGCACCACCACCGCCCGGCTAACATTTTTAAAGATCTTTGATATGGTGCTTGTCAGCATATTTAGCAACAATAACAATAAAAAAGGTTTCTGTAGACTTTAGCAATTTTGTTTGTTTGTTTTTTTGTTTTTGGTTTTTCGAGACAGGGTAAGCTTTAGCAATTTTTAAAAGAAAGGTTTGTGGAGGAAAAAAAGTTTGTGGAGTGCAGTCTTAGAAAGTCGCCGGTTATTAAACCTGCAAAGCAGAATTCCCCAAAGGGAGCCCCACACACGGTAGCTCACGCCTTTAATCCCAGCACTCTGAAGATAGAGGCAGGCAGAATTCTTTGAGTTCAAGACCAGCCTGGTCTGCATGCTAGTTCCTGGGCAGCCGGGACTACGAAGAGAATTGATTTTCCATAAAAACTGATTTAACGATTAGGGCCCAGTTTAACACAAAAATTTAAACAATCCAATGCCACTGTCCTATCTCCCTTGAATGTTCGGTCTCAATCGAGAATCACTATTCAACAGCAATTTCAGTTTAAATAAAATAAGGCAGCGGAACATGTTGACTTCTGAGGAGGAAATGGCAAATCCAATGTCCAGGGTAGCTGGACTAATGATCCTCGCTAAAGCAGGCCGTGATGTCTGTCTATTTAAGCCAGGGGCTCAGTAGCCCAGGCTGGCCTCACATTAGCTATGGAGCCAAGGGTGCCTGTACCTGCCGGCATTACACGGATGCAGCAGTGGGCTGCAGTGTGGCTCCTGAATCAGATGCACTTAATCTTGGGGTACAGTTAGGTTGAAGGACCTTCCGCCCATCAGGAGCACTCAGTGGGCGTGCCACGCCCCCGCCCCTACCCCCCCCCCCCGCGCCACGGACAAGCAGCTGCACACTGCGCAGGCGCACTGGGAAACACGTGTTGGGGTCACGTGCACCATGCCAGGCGGCAAGGCCGTTGGGCGCGCCTGCGCAGCTCTTCAGGCCCGTGCCGGTTGCGCTGTTCTCCCAGCATCCCTAGCGCCGCTTTCCCGCCAGGATAAAGCCAAGGCGGCTTTCCGGTCCCTGTGGCTTGGGTGTCGGTGTGGCGCTGCGGCCGTCGGTTGTCCGTCTTCTGTCCAGCATGTCGAGCGACTCCAAGAAGCCCTCTTCCAAGAAGGCGCTGTTCGACCCCGCGTCCTTCGCGAAGGACCTGCTGGCTGGCGGCGTCGCGGCCGCCGTGTCGAAGACAGCCGTGGCCCCCATCGAGCGAGTGAAGCTGCTGCTGCAGGTGCAGGCATCCTCCAAGCAGATCAGCCCCGAGGCGCGCTACAAGGGCATGGTGGACTGCCTGGTGCGCATTCCGCGCGAGCAAGGTGCGTATGGTGCCATCCGCGGCCTCCGCGGCCCACAGACGGGTCGGGGTGAGGGGTAAACGCAGAAAGGGTGACCCGGAGAGAAAGGGGTCACCCAAGGAGTAGGTGACACAGGGTGGTCCAGAGGTGGGTGCCCCGGGGAAAAGGGGGGGTCACCTAGAGGAAGGATCATGCACAGGAGGTGACCAGGGGAGGGGATTATCTAGGGGAAGAGAGCGACACAGCAGATAACCCTGAAGAGAGAGTCATTTAGGGAGTAGGGTGGTCCCAGGAGGAGCAGTCCAGAGGAAGTAAGGGAAATATCTTCTAGATCAGGAGCGGGGGTCCATCCAGAGAAGAGGTGACCAGAGGAAGATTGATCCAGTGGAAAGGGAGGGGAGTCTTCCAGAAAAGGGGTAGCCCAGGGGAAAGAGATTATCCAAACTAGGGTTCACTCAAAGGGTGAGGTGACACCAGAATGGTTGGCACAGAGAAATTGGGTTACTCAGTAGGAAGGGGTAATTTCCAGAGAAGAGGTGGCCCAGAGTGATGCAGAAGAATGGGTAGGGTCAATCAGAAAGGGGTGTGTAGGGTGGAGGTAGCAGCGGGAGGGTCATCAGAAAAGGGGGGTGTGTAGGGTGGGGGGAGCTGCCGGCTACAGCCTAGCAGATGTTTCTTTTTTTTGTTTCTTGGTGTGCGATGAAGGTGGTGGAGGGTTGTTGCTGAGTGTGTAAGGGCACCA